GGAAGGGGCCGGGGACGGGGACGGGGACGGGGACGGGGACGGGGACGGGGACGGGGACCGGGATGGGGACAGGGGAGGGAAACAAGGGGAAATAATTTGAGAAGAGAAATAAAAAACCCTCAGGGTATGCCTAGAAAGTCCTAGAGTGGAGTAGGGAGGAGACATGGAAAACAGACAGACAGACAGAAAGCTTTCTACCTGTCTGAGTTGGAAGACGCCCCCGGTATTGACGCCCTTCGCCTGGTGAAGCTCCACCGCAGCGAACTCCCCGAGCTCATTCATTTCCAAAATGGAGATCCACATTTCTATTCTCCGAGTTACTTCATTCCACCTGCAGAAAACAATATCCCAGCAAACACTGCATCACCCAGGGCCACCGTCAGCAACCAGCAGTAAACGGCCATCCCTGAGCGCGTCCTGGCACTGAGTCTGGGATGTCTCACCGATTACCTCCTCGGTGAACTCTCACACAACCCCGTGGTGTGAACTCTTAGGCTGCTGAACTGACCCATGCCTTACATTCAGTGATATACGCAGATCAGGGGCTCGGGCAAACCCAAGTCAACTCTGCCTGTTATAAAATGTCATAAAAGTGGAACTATATGGTGTGGACTCTTGATTCTGATTTATTTCATTTGGTGCAATGGATGGATGAATCTGTCTCTTTTTTTTCTGACAGATGATTCTGTCTCTCTGTATAGCCCTAGCTGACTTTGAACTCACAGAGATCTGTCAGCCTGTCTCCCAAGTGCTGTGATTAAAGGCATGTGCTACTCTGCTTGGCCCCAATTCTTTTAGTTTTTAATGTTGTCTAATGTGCTCTTTGGGTGGATAATCCAGTGATTTGCTTATTCACCTGCTGAAAGATACCTGGGTTCATCGTGACACTGAGTTAGTTATATTGATAAAGCTGCCATAAACCTTACTTGTGGACTTAACTTTTCTCTCAAGCAAGCACCCAGGTATAGTGTTGCTGGGTCATGCAAATGATCAACTTTATAAGAAATTGACATTTTTGGGGCTGGGGCTGAATGGCAGAGTGCTTGCTTTGCATGAGGAAAGACCTATGTTCAGTCTCCAGAAATGCTATGAAGAGAAAAAAAACACATTAGGAACTTTTTCTTAATAGTTTCTCTTAATGGTTGCTTGTTTATTTTCAGAGTTAGGCCTTTAATGTAGAATTAAGTTCTATGGTTATTGTGGCCTGATAACCTATGACCATGTCAAAGTTGTAAAGATACCACCTCCATCAGGTAGCATGGTGCACACCAGTAATACTAGCACTTGCTGAGGCAGGAGGATTGCAAGTCTGAGGCCAATGGTTTATACAGCGAGCACTTGCTTAAAACAACATCATTAACAATGCAAGGACAAAAACTCAGGGCATGGTGGTTCATATCTGTAACTTCAATACTGGGGAGGTTGAGGCAGGAGACTGCCATAAATTTGAGGCTAGCCCAACCTATAACTGAATCATGTGTCAAAAAACTCTAAGCAGTAATAAAAATTTGTAAAAAGATATACTATTATTTTCTTATATTACCATTATATTTCTTATATTACCATTAATTTCTTATATTATATTTACTTATATTACCAGGTTTATAGATTTTGCTTTGCATTTAAATTTATGATTTGGGTTAATAAGATAGCCCAGTAGGTAAAGGAGCCTGCCTTTAAACCAGAAGACCTGAGTTCAATCCTTGGGACCCATGTGGTGGAAGTCGATAACGGACTCCTGCAAGCTGTCCTCTGACCTCCATTTGTGTATGTGTGTGTGTGTGCAAATAATGTAATAAAAACTTTAAAAGTAAATATATGATTACCTTGTAGCAATTATTTCAGTCTCACTGGTTACAATGACTCACTAGCCACAGTGTGTTTTGATGTTTGGTGGTTTCTTCTAGCACTCTAGTTTTACAAAGGAGGACATGGGAACAGAGGTTGAGCAACTCCTTTGAAGCCCCAGGGTTTGAAGCCTCTACTCTCACTTACTGTGACAGCAGCTTCTGACCCCTGGGTCTAAAGCTCGAAGCAAGAACAAACCTGTCATGCAGTGTTCTTGTCTTCGCCTGGAGTGAATCGACCTCCCAGATGGAGCTTCCATTCCCAGCACACCTGTGGCCCCACACTTCAATGGCCAGTGCACCGTCAGAAATGAACTCCAGGAACTCTTCTGTGACAGTCACCACATAGTCCTGGGACAAGCAAGCAGAAGGTAGAAGAGTACACTGAGAGTCAGGCATAAAGGCACCCATGTATCTGCTCTCCACCTTAAACCCCACCTGTTCTGGAGGAAAGCATGAAGGATCACAGGACGCTATATCTGGAAGGGATCTAGGAGGTAACTCGGTTCTAATGAAGAGCACTGAGCTCAAACGTCTGGCTTAGGTGCAGAGCAGGGATCTGTAACCTCTTACTTTGGCTCATGGCCAACTCCAGGGAACCACCCTGACCTCCAGATGACCCTTGCTGCACTTTGAGACTTGTCTGGTAAGGGACTCAAACTATCTGATTTCTTCATGGTCTTGCTCTTGAGTGTGTCTCACTTCAATTCCTCCCTCTATAAAACAAACCCACGACTGTGGAAATTTACAGAGTCCCCTGAGAACTGTGGCTGGTCACCCAGAACATTCAGTATGCCCCAAGCCACACCGCGATCCTTTCCATCAGATCTGCCCCAGCAGAGATCCAGGGGCAGTTACTCCACACGCATTTCCAGAAACAGTTACTAAGTGGATTGAGCCTTATTCTATCTACTTCCTTATTTCATCTGGAGACAGACCCAGAATTTTAGTTAAACTGCGTACTCTAGAAGTGAAAAACAAAACAAAACAAAAAACCCAATGTCCTCTAAAATCACACTGAACCCAGGGGCTTTGGGATCCATATGTATTTAAACAGTTGTTAAACAGCACACACTTAAATTCCAGCCTTTGTCTTCCTGATACAAACAGCCCTGTGGATCCAAAGAGGAATGGGAAATATTTAAAAGGCCATTAGGGGGCTGGAGAGATGGCTCAGTGGTTAAGAGCACCGACTGCTCTTCCAGAGGTCCTGAGTTCAATTCCCAGCAACCACATGGTGGCTCACAACCATCCATTATGAGATCTGGTGCCCTCTTCTGGAGTGCAGATATACATGGAAGCAGAATATTATATACATAATAAAAATAAATAAAATCTTTAAAAAAAAAAAAGGCCATTAGGGAAACAGCAACAGCAAGAACAACAAAAATGGGGAACAACAAAAATGGGGAGAACATTTCTTAGGAGGAGAAAGGAACCGGTGTGTGGGGGGGAAGGGTATGGGAGAGGACAGCAGTAAGAGAGGGAATGAATTAGAACGAGGACTCACATGTATGAAAATGCCATAAAGCCCATGACTTTGCATGGTAAATTAAGTATTAAAAGATAAATATTTCAGGTGAAAAATGCTAACTAAAGATTTTAAGAATGTAGTTTGGCAAATACGGGTCAAGAGATGTAGGCTTGGGGCTGAGGAGATGGCTCCATGATTTACAGCATTTGTCCATCCTGAGGACCTACCTTGGTTCCCAGCACCCACCTGGCAGCTCACCGCTACCTGTAACACCAGCTCCAGAGGCTCTGATGCCCTCTTCTGGCTTCTGCGAGCACCAGGCATGTACATGACACACATACAGAACATAAGCAAAACACTCATACACTGAATAAATAAATAAGCAAATGTTGTTTTGTTTTTGGAGACAGGGTTTCTCTGTGTGGTTCTCCTTGTCCTGGAAACTCTCTTTGTAGACCAGGCTGGCCTTGAACTCACAGAGATCTGCCTGCCTCTGCCTTCTGAGTGCTGTGATTAAAGGTGTGTGCCATTACTGTCTGGCCCTAAATAAGCAAATTTTAACTTAGAGAGAGAGAGAGAGAGAGGGAGAGAGAGAGAGGAAGGAAGGAAGGAAGGAAGGAAGATGGGTATTTATTTTCAGCAAAAGAAAGATCTGGCAGTCTTGTACATCTGAAGTTTTATAGGTGGCAAGAGGAATTTGTTTTCTAAGCTAGAGTCAGAAGGAACAGACAGGGTTTGCAGAGAAACGGTCTGCACAGGTCATGCAGCAGAAGCCTCCTCACAGAAGGCAGAGTCCATCTTAGAGAAACCATTAGGTGACGGTGCCAAGTGAAAGCCAGAAAGACAAAAAAAAAAAAAAAAAAAAAAGGGGGAAAGAAAGAACATAGAAAATAGCTTACTAAAATAAGTGGCAGGGCACAGGGACCTACAACTCATGTCCCAGCTACTCAGGAGGATAGGGCAAGTCCAGGAGTTCAAGGCCAGCATGAGCAATACAGCAAGACTCCATCTCAGAAGATAAATGAAAATAAAGAGAAAGTATATGTATAAAAGAAACATGGTTATACCCTTGTAGAATAAGACTTCAAGTTGAGACTGTTCAGATTTCATCTCATACATTCCCTAATTATTTGAATTTGTAATGAAGATCATTTAGTCCAGTTAAATATTATGTTTAATTAAAAAAAAAACTTATAGTGAAAACTTTCCTGAGACAGGATCTCCTGCCCTGCAATGTGTGATCTTGCTGCTTCAGCCTCTTGTGTGCCAGGGTTACAGGCATGTGCCATCACACACAGAGAGAACTTCTTCTTCTTCTTCTTCTTCTTCTTCTTCTTCTTCTTCTTCTTCTTCTTCTTCTTCTTCTTCTTCTTCTTCTTTTTTTTAAAGATTTTATTTATTATGTATACACCATTCTGCTTCCATGTATATCTCTGCACCAGAAGAGGGCACCAGATCTCATAACGGATGGTTGTGAGCCACCATGTGGTTGCTGGGAATTGAACTCAGGACCTCTGAAGAGCAGTCAGTGCTCTCAACCTCTGAGCCATCTCTCCAGCCCCCACAGAGAGAACTTCTAAGCCATAGGTAGATTTAAGCCAGGCCTGGGGGCTCCAGCTTGTAACACCATCCATTGGGGAGCTGACACAGGGGGATGGCCATGAGTTGGAGAGCAGAATAGACTACATCCTGAGTTCCAATGGGTTTGGGGAGAAGGAGTGCCATTTTCTCCAGTGGTGTAGGCAATGATAAGATGCTGATGGGCCAAGCTATAACCTCCCCTCACTGCCCCGTACTCACAACTCCCCCATACTCAGGCAAAAAACTCTTAACTCTGTCAGTGGCACAGGAAAAGGTGGAAGAAAGTAGGAGGTGACTCATTGGGAAGAAGAGGGTTTTAGCGCAAGAGGGAGGGAGATGAGAAAAGGGAGCTGAGCGCGAAAATGACTAAAATTCTGAAACTGCCAGACAATAATAAAAACATTAAAAAAAATTAATACAGGATCTTTGGTCCTTGTAAACAATCAAGAAAGAAAGAAGGAAAAAGAAAGCTCCACACAGTTGGAAGGTGTCCTGTTCAAACACCAGTACATGGCAAAAAAAGGTAGATATTTTAAAAGTCCGTGCCCAATTCCATTCCCCACCATGCACCGATGCTGACTCTATTGTGGCTGTTTTGGTGTTGGGGACTGACCCAGGGGACTCAAGCACACACTTCACCACAGAGTGTCCCCCCTGGCCCAGTACCTCATTTTGTAATTGCATCCATACCTTACAGTGAGAGAAGGTCACTGTGTACTGGGCGTCCTTGGACTGCGGGGAAGGCACATCTGGGTCCACCACCGGGGCAGCCACAGTAGACTCACACTGGTCCCAGAATGTATACTGACAGAAGACGAAATTTGAGAGGCTTAAGGGTAGCCCAGTAGCCTCTTTAATTATTACCTGGAGAGATTAAAAAAGAAATTATAACTCTCATTAAAAAGAAACACTAAAGTATAGTCTTTCCATAGTTTAGTTATTTCTTAAGAGGGGATGAAACCAGTCAGTCACCCATCTGAGAATATTTGAGAGCATTCATTGCGATTGATCCATCTATCATCTCTCTCTCTCTCTCTCTCTCTCTCTCTCTCTCTCTCCAACAAGCAAACGATTATCTATCTTCTATCTATCTCTGTATCTATGTATGTATCTATCATCTATCTATGTATCTATCTATCTACGTATCTATATATCTGTCTATGTATCTATCATTTATGTATCTATATAAGTATGAATCTATCCATCCATCCATTTATCTATCATCTATCTTTTGCAGTAAACTTAGGGCCTCACACAGACTGAGCTGTATTCCCAGTCCATCCTTTTTTAAAACTATAAGCCATAGAGGCCTCAAACTCAGAGATCTGCCTGCTTCTGCCTTCTGAGTGCTGGGATTAAAGGTGTGCACTATCATGTTTAGTACGTGGGCTCATCTTCAAATTAAAAAAAAAATTGTATCTACTTATTTTGAGAAAAAGAGCACATTCCTGTATAATCTGACTCACGACTGAGTTTCTGATACAGATGTAACTTTTATTAGAAGAACATAATTCATTAACATATGCTCCATACTGCAACCTACATGGCCCTCTCTCTTTATAGATTTGACTTCTGTAGTTTAGCCAATAGATCAGATATACCCCAAACAACTACAACGTACTGACATGTGTAGACTTTATCTTGCTGTTATTCTCTAAGTAATAGTTATAGTTTGCTTTCTGTTGATGTGGTAATAACCATGACCAAAAGCAACCTGTTGGGGAGGAACGGGTGAATTTTTGTTCATAGGACACAGACTGTTACTGAGGCAAGTCCAGGCAGGAACTTGAAGCAGAAACCATGGAGGAATGTTGCTTACTGGCTGGCTCATGCTTACCTAGCTTTCTTTACAGCTCAGGACAATCTGCCAAGGGAATGGTACCTCCCACAGTGGGCCGGACTCTCCTATCAATTAACAATCAAGACAACCCTCCATAGACAGGCTCACCAGCCAATTCCTGTCTCAGGTGACTCTAGGTTGTGTCAAATAGAAAATTAAAGCCAACTAGTGACAGGTGTGAGGGTGAGCAGTTTTAATTCCAGCACTGAGGAGACAGAAGCAGGGGGTTCTTTCTGAGTTGCAGGCCAACCTGGTCTACATAGTGAATTCTAGAACATTCAGGGCTACATAATTGAGAGACCCCCACGTCAAAAAAACTATCAAAATAAAAAAAAATAAAGCTAACTAGACCTGTGATATAACTACTACACAGCATTGGCACCGCACTACATTTACTAATTGGCAATTATTAAAAGCGTCTAGAAGGTTGTGCATAGATTATATGCAAACATAGTCCACTGTGTATAAGGGACTTGTGTACTTGTGGATTTGGTTATGTGGAGGGCATCCCAAAACCACTTTTGTCTAGATACTGAAGGCAGAGGGTACACATTGGGGGAATTTCACACAATGGTCACCAGAGAATTATTGTAGAAGAAGTGCTGCTCACAGCTGCATCTCCTGTCGGACAGTTTAGCTGTTATTGTGTGAGATAAAAAACTCATAAAATTTGTGCGTATGGTTTGGCGTTGCCAGGGTCTTCGTGGGCCCCTGATCACTGTCCTCTCACCCGGCACGTCAGCTTCTTGACTCGGTGAATGACTTCTCCGCTGCTGTCCACAACTTCAAGGCTCCCACTTTCACTAGAATTCTCCGAAGAGTCATCCTCCGACACGCGCTCTGGAACAGTCCCCGTAACACGCATGACCTCCACGTGGAGACGCCCAGCAACCTGGATCAAGGAACAAGAGCATCTCAGAGTTCAAAGGCGTACCCAGTAGTCAACACTAGCCTGAGACAGAAGCTCACTCTACAGCTCTGGCTGGCCATCTGTGGGAGTGTGATACCCTCCTCCCAAGCCATTTCCAGGAGGGACATCCAAAACCCACCCTTCCCAGAGCCAGCAAGCCTGGCAACCTTCCTTTCTTACTCTGAGCCAGATTTGTCCCCTCCCAATTTGCTTTCTAGAACTATCCTTAGGTGTATCCATTTTCCTCAGCTCAGGCAAGGAACAACTTCAAGGGAGTGATCTTATTCTACTGGTACCTTTGGACTCATAACTGTTTATATAGTTATGATATCCACTTAGTTGATCATGTGCCTAGGTAATCTATTCACTCCATCAAAACCTAGCCAACTGGGACACCAAGAAAGGAGTGGGCTCTACTGCCAGTGAACTCATGGTCAGAGAGAGAGAGAGAGAGAGAGAGAGAGAGAGAGAGAAACAGAGAAATCAGAACCTGGTAACAACAGGATAAGGCAGCTGACATATAGGTATTGGGTGGGATAAATGTTTGCACATGCACGCAGCAAGTATTTACTTTACTGCGAACTGATGGGGGCAGGAATTGGGTCAAGCACTGTGCTTCTAACAGTACACCAGGCAGACACGGTCCCTAGCTCAGGGAGGGTGGATGAATGTAACATGGAGCCGCACCAAAAAGGGCCCTGTGGGGCCCTTTTTAATAATAAGAGCAATGGGCTCTTATTCCAGAAGGAATCACATGATCAAAGCCAGATGGGTATGGGAAAGTAGTTCTTTTGTTTGCTTGTTTCCATCAGGTTTTGATTTGCTGAGACAGGGCTCACTATGTAACCCACGCTGAGGTTACTGAGCAATCCTCTTGCTTCAGCCTCCTGTGTGCCTCCATCATAGGCATGGATCCCCACTCTTGGCTCTGGTTTAACAATTCTTTTGTTCAACCTATTCATCTTTTAATTATGTATATGTGTGTGGGTCCCTGCACTTGAGTGCTGGTGTCCAAAGAGTCAAGGGTATTAGATTCCCCTGGAGCTGGAGTCATAGGCAGTTGTGAGCCATTTGATGGGGAAGCTAGGATTCGAACTTGGGCCCTCTACAAGAGCTGCAAGCCACTCTTAACTGCTGAGTCATTTCCCCAGCCCCTAAATAACTGTTCTTTTCAGCCCATTTTTTATTAGGCCATTTATATTTCTGAGTGAGGAAGCATTTCGCTGGAGTGGGTCCAGTTTGTCAGTATTGCTTTGAGATTGCCATCTCAAAGATGGCTCAGGCTGCTCAAATACATGGCCATTCTGCCTCAGCTTCCGAATGCTGGGATTACAGAGATGAACCACCACACCAGGCTAAGGGTTATGCTTAATGCTCAGACTCAACATAGCAGTTGGCACTGGGGCCAAGAATCTGAGAGAAATTAGCTTCCTCTCCATGTATCTGAGAAATGAGATACTTGGAGAGGAAGAAACAAGGAAAGAGGGATCGAGATACTCGCTTGAAAACTGAATACATTTTCATTTTATTTACGTGTGTGTGTGTGTGTGTGTGTGTGTGTGTGTGTGTGTGAGAGAGAGAGAGAGAGAGAGAGAGAGATGCATGCCACAGCACATGTGTGATGGTCAGAGGAAAACATTTGGAAGCCCTTTTCTCCTTCCACTCTGAGAACTGGTGACTGACCTCAGGTTAGTAGGTTTGTAGGGCAAGCGCTTGAGTGCTAAGCCTTGAGTGCATTTTAAATGTAATTTCAGGTACCCAGAGCCTGCCAGAGCCTGCAGATTAAGAGCCCCTCAGCAAGGGCCTCAGCCCCTGGATCCACTGGCCGCTTAAGTTGTATTTTTAGCATGGTGAGCAGCATTGGTGGTCAACGAAGCAGAATTATCCCAGGAAGGTCCTAGCTCCTATACGCAAACACATACACAACAGGAACACACAGAGTATCTTGATCTTCCTTAAGGCAGAGATAAACAAATTTCACGCCTGTCATTTCCTAGGGGCTGGCGTGTCCTTACCTCCCCCTGCTGGCTGATGATGGGTACTGCATATTGAAGTTTGACGTCACAGAAGAGACATTCCAAAAACACATTAGCCACACCAATGAGGTTGTGATTCTCCTGAGCTTCGTAGAAAGGGTCGCCTCGCTTCCCATAGAGCCTCTTGGCCTGAGAAGTAGAGCAGGCCATTCATGAGTGAGAGGTCAGGAAACAAAGCATCAACTTAAATCATGTTATTTCAAACCACTTACCATACCTTTAGAGGAAGCACTCATAGAAATAAACAAGAAGTAAAATCAGAATCATGCCCACATAAACCCAGCACGTGAGTAGGGCATGTCCGCTAGGGGCTGCGCGTGTAGAGGAACCTCAGCCTCACACCACACCCACAGCCTGCTTCATGTCATGCCCTGTGACTTGCACCAAATTTTCCTTTCTATTACTAACGCCAAATGTTAAAAACAAAATGAAACATCACATGCACTACAATAACATTTAGGAGTCTACCTAGCCATGAGCACAGCTAGGGGCGCACACAGCTAGGGGCGCATGCGCAGACACGGATAAAGATGAAATCCACACTGGTTCCAGCCAGCCCTGGTTTTCTAGGACACAGACCACCAGCACAGAGAGATTTCTTTCCTTTTTTCACTTGAGAAGCAGGGAACACAAAGCAAAATAAGACCTGCTGGGTGTTCCTGGATCCCCTTCCACCTGTCTGAATTTTGTGTGATCGTACCAGGTGCTCTGTAAGTGTAGGGAAAAAGGGCCAGCCAAAGAAATGCACCCTGTGCAGAGCCAAAGAAATACACTTTGACCCTGCAACCAGAACCAAAGAAATGCACCCTGACCCTGAAACCAGTGACAAAGAAACACACCCTGTCCCTGGAATCAGAGTCAGTGAAAGAAATATACCCTGGCCCTAAAACTAGAGCCAAAAGGCCAAAAAGGACCAGTGAAGGAAACCAGAGCCAAACCTGACCCTAAACCTGTGCAGAAAACTAACCAATCCCTGAGCAGGCAATCTAGACATCCTAAGTTCAGGGGTTGAAATCTGACCAATCCCCACCCTGGAAGAACTCACCCCCTAAGAATCCCTATATAAACCCTGTGTCTGTTCAGCTTGTGGCTGTGCATGCTGCCTGGCTGTTCTCTGCCATCCTGGCAGAGGGCAGCCACTTTCCTGGATTCCTCCCTCCCAATAAATCTCTTGAATGAGGTTTGGGTGAGACCTTCTTTCACCAGAGCAGAGATGACCCAGAGCAGAGTGGAACAGGGCTGTAACACTTTTTGCCTAGGGAAACCTTCCCCTGGCTAAGTGAAGTTGTTACATTCCAATCTCTGGGGAACTAGAGCCCAAATGTAACAACTTCGTCGAGGAAACCCTCTCCTGCAGGAGCAGAGCTGATACACAGGGGAAACCTTTCCCTGAAGCAGGGCTGTAAGCTGCTATGTTTACTGTGACCTGTGGTATTCCTTTGCTCCTGATTTCCAGGATACCTTTCAATCCGAGCTGTGACACTCAGTATTCTGTGACTCCTGAGTGCCAGAATGCCTTTCCATCCAACCTGTAACACTCAGCATTCTTTGGCTCCTGAGTGCCAGAATCCATTCCTGTCCGTCCCATCTGATTCCTCGAAATGCTTACAGTAAGGATGACATTTTATCTCCCCAGTGTAAACAACCAGAGCATTTTATCTGTGGTTTGAATACAGCATATCTCTTTGATGTCTTGTTTCTCTTACTTCAGGGACATTTTCTTTCCATTCTTGGTAAAGGTCTCTCATATCAATTAACTTGTTCTCCAGCTTCTCGATGGTCCAAACCTGGGTGCTCTTTCCTTTTCTCCTCACTTGAATGGCTGGCTCACTCACTATCGCCCCTCTCTGTAAAATGAAGGAAAACCAAGTTTTTGACAGTTAAAGATTGTCTACATTATAGTGAGGCTATAAGTTTATAAAAGATGACAAAACATTACCATCTAGGAATACTCTGATCACTTTTTCTCTTCTAGATATATCATGCACACACTATTTTTTTTTTAAATCACAAGCCCATGTGAACACATAATCACATATCCCAAACTCTCTCCAGATTTTACATCACAATCAATTCCTTTTGATGGGGGATGTCCTTATGTATGTTCTGAAAATATGTTCCTCGTACTGGTTGGTGAATAAATGCTGATTGGCCAGTAACCAGACAGGAAGTATAGGTCTTCCAGTAGCTGGTAGTGGGTCTACCAGACTAGGAAAGCTGGGAAGAGGAACATAGTGAGGGAGCCTCAAGAGAGACACCATGTAGCCGCCAAAGAAGTAACATACCAAGCATTATGGGTAAGCCACAGCCTCGTGGCAATACATAGTTTAACAGAAATGGGCTAATAAATCAGAGAGAGCTAGCCAAAAGAAGCTTGGGCCATCAGCCAAACAGTTTATAATTAATAGAAGCATCTGTGTATTTGTTTGGGACTAACCAGGCAGGACAGAAACTCCGTCTACAGCCTTTCATTGATTACTCTTCATAAGCGTGGTTTTTATAATAGTAGCATAGGAATTCATTGTATAGATTTATCACATTCTGACTAATCATTATTCGATGGTAAGGGTACTTCAAGTTTTGTTACATAAAGGCCACTGTGAGGGCTGGGGAGGTGGTTGAGTTAGCAGAGTGCTTGCCTAGCATACGCAAAGCCCTCAGTTATACTCCCAGCACTACCTAAAACAGATGTGATAGTGCATGCCTGGAATGTCATCATTTGGGATGTAAAAATGGAAGGATCAGAGGTGCAGGTCATCCTTAGCTACAAAGTAAGTTTGAGGCCAGCATGGGATTGTGAGACCCTGCCTCTCAATCAATCAATCAATCAATCAATCAATCAATCTTAAAGAATAAAGGGACTATCACAGAATCCTTGCACACAGCCTGAAGGTATGCACATGCCTATGTCTGTGGATTTGGAACTTCTAAAAGATGCTCCCTAATTCGCTTTCTTAAATTTCCAAAAAAGCATTCTCATTTTATGTATATGTGTGTCTTGCCTCCACGTATGTATGTGCACCACATGTGTGCCTGGTGTCTCCAGAGGCAGAAGGGGATCTGGGATGCCCTGGAACTAGAGTTATAGGTTACAGATAATTGTGAGCCACCATGTGTGTGCTAGGAACAAAACCTGGGTCTTCTGGAAGAGCAGCAAATGGTTAACTGAGCTCTCTCTCTCTTTCTCCACTCAGCACACTCAACTTCCTTTCTAGCTAGTTGGCTGGGTAGAAAAAAACAAATGGATGAGAATTTATTTTCTTCTGGGTTTCTCTCTTACAGCAAAATTTCTTTAAGTTGAAATGATAGGAGTCTTCAGATAGCTGCAAGGAGTTCCATATGCGTAATAGCAGGTTTCAAAACTGTTTCTCCTTCTAGAGATTTCGCTCATAGAAAGGCAGTACAACTAAGCATACACATATACCCACCGCAGAAGGGGCATTTGCACAAAGAAAAGCAGGCATAATTATCACCCCGCCTTCTGCTTCCATTTTCTCTAAGGGCCCTCCTTACCCAGCATGCTTACCCAGGGGGTATAGACCACCTTGAAGGCTTCTAGAGAGAGCCAACACCGGCTCCCCTTAGGACCTGCTCAAAGACAAGCTCTGGACTCCAGTCTGCAGTATTTCCTAGCCTACATCCTGCTCGCCCATCCCCCAGGGCCATGCCTACCTTCCTGTTGGCACTAAGGTTGGCTGCAGGGATCTGAAGAGTCACTTGGTAGTCAGTGAGCTTGCTCATTTCCTCGGCTAGGAAGTTGGCTTCCCTCACCAGAGTGTTTGCTTTCACCAGCTGCTCTCGAAGCTTGGCTAGGCTTTGCCTAAACAGTTCATCCCTGTGGTGGTGAAGAAAAGAAAGCACACGCAGGTGCAAGTAAGCCAGGGTTCTGTTCCTGCCAGAAAATGATGACAAATACCCGCAGCAACAACAAAATCCTTTTAGGAAGCTTTCTCTCCTGTCTGCAGACAGGAGGACATCGGGGACCACTGCTGGCAACAAAATTGAGGGGTTGAGAGTTGATGACAAACAAACAAACAAGCCAACAAAAACACCCAGGCACCGCACATGGTAGTGCATGACTTTAATCCTAGGACTCGTACAGCAGATCTCTGTAAGTCCAAGGCCAGCCTGGTCTACAACAGTCTGTTCCAGGACAGCCAGGGCTGCCACAATCTTTTGTTCCCCTCCTCCTTCCACTCCTCCATCCATCCATCCATCCATCCATCCATCCATCATCCATATCCATCCATCCATCCATCCATCCATCCATCCATGTGTTATTAAGGCCTAGTTGCTATATGATTGTCCTTATAAACACCTGCCTTCCTCAGGCCACTCCTGGTACAGTCCCCCTGTTCAAGTCTAGTAGGGACAAAACCCAAGCATTCCTGGTTGTCATCTCTCATATGTCTGGTTGTCATCTTTACATGTCCAGGTTGTCATCATACACATGCCCTGGTTGTCGTCCCTCACACCCTGTTTGTTGCCGCTCTCATGCCCAATCTGATGCTTTTAGACTGAATTCTTTCCATCCCTCTATAAGTCACTTCCAGACACAACCAGTTTGCTCACAAGCTTCCAAACGCTCCTTACTTTTCTCTACTGCTTTGCTGCTGCCAAGCCACCCATCTACAGTTGGGGCAAGGGGTGTTCTCAGGGGCAGTGGACATGGTTAACATGGGGGAAAGGTCTAGCTTCAAGCACCAAAACATAAAAGAAAAAAAAAATCCCTACCTTCTGTCTGCATATTCAGATTGTTGTTGCTAAAGAACCATTCAAACTGCTATCTCAAGGCCCACCAATCTAAGTCTTCTCCTTTGCCACTATTTCTACTGAAGGGTAAAGGATTAGGGATCTGGGGATGGGGATGGTCTATGGTAGCTGACATTACTGTGACATTCTTAGGACATATCTCTGAAATGAAACACCAATGGCCAAACCAGAAGTGGGCCCACAGTCTCCCTTTTCCAGGTATGTCCTCCCTCCCTTCAGCCCCACAGCCCCGATCCTGACTCAGGGTCTGGCCCCATGCTTACCTCTCCTCAGCCCACTGGGTCACCTTCTGCTGGGCTGTCTGGCTGCTGTAAGCCAGGCGGTCAGAGACGATGCTTGGCGGCTGCCTCTCTGGGGAGAGCTGCTGGCGAAGCTGTTCCAGCTCACGCTCATACATGAGCCGCTGTTCCTCCAGGGCGGTCCTCTTCTCTTCCAGGTATTGCTTCTCCAGGACCTGTACCACATTTTGAACTGGATCTGGTGAGCAGAGAGAAGAGGCAAGCGGCTGTAAGCAGCTGATAGAGATAGGCGCCCACACCAGTGCCAGTCAGGGCTTCTCTCAGCAAGAAACATCTCCTGCCTCAGAACCTAGCCTGGTCCTGTGCTCTCTGTGACAGCCTGAGGGCTCACAGCAGAGATCCTCCTGGTTTGTTTTCGGGTGACACTTCAGCTGACTGTAAACCTTCACCGTTTCCTTCTTCGTGGGATGAGCGCATTCTCGTGTTTACCTGTGTGTACACATTTGATGGAGGGGAACTGGATGCGATACCATTGTGAAATCCAGGACAGCACACGGCAGGAGCACGGACCGGTTGATCTTTACAACGCATGACTTCTACACTCATTTAACATGGCTTTTGTGTGTGACAAACAGGCTCCTGATTGCTCGACACAAACTTCCCTACTCCTGAATTTCTCTGGATGGGGAGGAAACAACCACAGCACACGTTTGAAAATACCGATCAGGAAGATGGGGCAATTTTCCAGGTGGGAATTCCTAAGAGGGCAACTAACTTTCATAAAAAGAAAAGAAAAAGAAAAGCATGCCTTTGGCAATTTAGCGGTCCAGGGATCTAGAACTTGCAATCTGGCAAGCAGGTACAGACATATCAACAGATGGAGCCTGGGCACCTCCATGGATGGCTGTGGTGCGGGTGGGACCTGACTCTGAGGAACCAATTGGCTAGGCAGGGCATTAGTATGGTGCCCTGAGCTGTATGTCAGATCCGGGCAATGGCACATGAGCAAAGTCACAACATAAATGAGTAGTGTGCAATGAATCAGTACACTGACAACCACATGGTGCAGCAGGGGACTGCCCTTCACGGTGAGGATCTCCCAGAAGTCCACAGGACTAAGGGAGATGCATCTTTAGACTGGTGTGGGATGTAATTTCTTCCTTGTACCTTTATACATTTGCCTACGATTCCCTGATAACCTGTGCTATACTCCTGTTCAGTTGTTCGTTCTCAGTTTAGTTTCCAGAAAGAATTTGGACAGGGATGCAGGAGTTTATTTTTAAATCATCTCATCATGGCTACTGACAGACTCTTCCAAAATGCCCCATCAGTTTGTGCAATAAACACCAACAGTACTTTCTGTATATTATTAGCATGTAAGAGGAGAGAACACATTAGCCTTAAAAATGAAGTTAACAAAGCAGATTCAAGCAGTTTCGTATAATCGCAAGACACTGTGAGTTGTTTTAATAAAAACCACAGCTACCATGCCAACACTACTTTACTGGCTGCATCTCAAGTGCAGGGGCCAAACTGACTCTGCATGCATGACCTCCGGCAGAACCCTGCTGGCCCGCCTCCTTCCCTGTGGGGGATGGCATCTCCATTTTAATGTCGAGGAAACTGGGACTCAGAAAAATCATATAGATGACCAAGGTCAAATGACAGCACCACACTTTGAGTTTAGGCTGGAAGCTGACTAGGCAACGAGGGTAAGATGTCAACTTGACAAACAGGTCTCGATACAATGCTCTTAGCCTGAAAGCCGCTCCATATTAGCTCTAATCAAAGAACAGTCTTCAAAACAACCAACCAGATTGCTCTCAAAGTCACTGTTTCTTCAAAGTAACATCAGTTTTTGTCATTGAGAGATTGTTTTACGGGGTCGTGTGAAGAGATCCTGAATGTCACACTGGGGATGGAACCTAGGGTCTTGTTCATGCTAAGCAAGAACTGTACCACTCAGTTTTACTGCCCAGGTCCTGAAGAACATATTTAATCCATAGCTCTGCTTTTGATGCTGCAGAAACACGCGTGACCACGATGGCTAAAGCTGCAGGATCTCAAGCCAGGTTCCTTGTCAAAGTAGAGGCCAAGTGACTGAGGCCACTTGAAACGGCACCGGCAGTGCCACTTACAGGCTCTGCTGTGGCCACAGACCAAGATAAGGAGATCCACCTGACTGCCTCCAGAGTGCTGGGATTAAAGGTGTGCGCCAACACTGCCCAGCTTAACTAATAGTTTTTAAATGATCCGGAAATCCTCTTCTGAATGACTTTTCCTCTCTCTTGAAGGCTGCTACCCTGCTCACTACTTGGCCTCATTTATATCAGATCCTAGGAATGAGATTTCTAGCTACAAGGGACATTGTAATATTTAATACGTAAGTGCACCCACACGCACGCAATGCGATATTTGACCAGCAGGGGGTGCTGTGAATGAGAATTCTCTGAAAGAAGCTGTGTCTACAGAGACAGGTCAGAATTTCAGTACTGTGGAGAGATTGGAATGCTGGTCTTGGGGCAAGTTCTAGCCTTCGGGGACAGCCATTCCTTGTCAACCTTTGTGTCTGAACGAACGTCCTGTGACAAACAGATAAAACCTTTACGCAATCACTAACTTAACAGACCACGAGCTTCCGCCAACCCCAAGTAAGAATGTCATCAGGTAGCATCTTGGGCCTATAGAGAAGCTTCCCCCATCTTGCTGTACCTGCCTCTCTGGTGTACCCAACCAATGCGCTTAAAACTTGCCTTGATTTATGATTTTGTTCTTTAAAATGCTAAAACTTCATGAGACTGTTTCCACAATGGAACAGAGAACTAAAACATGTGTCCCCAGGTTACAGTCACTCAAAATGGTTCCAGAATAAAGTATCTCTTCTTTCGGTTAAAAATGAATAAAATTAGATGGATCCTACTTAGCAAGGTAATCTGTCTCTGATATGGCCCAGGACACAAGCCAAGGATTCCATGGCCTGGTCTCTCATGACACACCAAATACCAGGAGTCTGCCATCCTAACCCCCCTACCCCATGTCACTATTCTTCCCGCCACCCCATTCCAGCCCTGAGAATGGAAGCCAGGGCCTCATGCATGCTAGGCAATCACTCGACCACTGAGCTGCACCACCACTTCACCTAACCCTTCTCATGTGAACGGTTTCACCTAGTGCACCTGGTGTCTAAGGCCAATCCTGGCCTCTTAGACACCAAAGAGTGCAGTGTTTTGTTTTGTTTTTCAGGAGAGAGAAAGAAGCATAGTGTTGAGTGCTTAGCACACCTTTACATCTTCCTCGGTAGGCAGACATGAAATAAGACCAGACTAATCTACTGCCCCAAGCATGGGGCGGACAGATCAGGGATGCTAGGAAAAAGGACAGGATGGGGTGCTGGGGGAGTGGACAGGACGGGGTGCTGGGGGAGTGGACAGGATGGGGTGCTGGGCACAGGGCATTAGAAGGAGCATGAGAAATGACTCATACTGGGATTGGAAGGGAAGTCCATCTTTGGGGGCAAAAAGAAGTCTCTAATCTTAGATGCTAGAAACTGGGTCATGAGCTTTACGGGTCCCCAATACTCTTTACTTTAGAGCTGGCTATAGAAGACATTGGGAAAAGAAAGAATAGTGTTTGATTTCTATTTTGAGCCTGTGAGAAAAAAGACTTCATTGCTCACAGCTAGATTTTCTTTTCTTTTTCTTTTTTTTTTTGTGTATGTATGAATGTGTGCATTAATGTTCAGACGTGTGTGTAGGTGCACATGAGTACACGCACGTGGAGGCCTGAGGCCGATACCAAGTATCTTCCTGTATGGCTCTCTCTTTCATATATTAACGTAGGGTCTCTCATTCGAACCCAGAGCTCACCAAGTCAGCTCCTCTAGTTGGGCAGTTTGTTTCAGGGATCCTGTTTCCACCTCCCACATACTGGGTGACAGGTGGGTTGCCGTGCCCACCCAGCTTTGGACCTGGATGGTGGTCCTCAGGCTTGTACAGCAAGAGCTTAACTTATTGGGCTATTTTGCCAGCTCCTCTTTTACATTTGCATCCAGTGAGCTGGGCTTTTTAGGTCAGTACTTACTCTAGAGATTCTAGGTGATCACTGAGATGGTGGAGGCTACATTTGGAAGCTTCGCTGCCCTGAACTGCCACACCCCCTACAGCAATGAAGCCATTAGTACCAGCAGCAGTAACACAAAGACACTTTCCTCTGCTGCTGGGAAGGCAGGGAAAAGGTCAGCGGGAAGGTCGCAGAGTTGGGAAACGGTTAGGATATCCCCAGTCACGATCAAGAAGCACTTTTGTCAGGCAGAAAACCTTCGCTTCATCCCAATACCGCCTGTTAGACTTTGTCAAAGCTCGCAGCACGCAATGTCCCTCATTGGCCCCGCTGAAAGCTGGCCAGGCTCCCACATGCTAAGACAGCTGTTAAGAACCTCTGTCCCAGCGTTGATGGACCAGCTTCGTCTGAAACCACAGGAGGGGCAAGAGGATCTTCAAGTAGGACCACCACGGGGACGACCACCAGGCAGACAGGCTTACGGTTGGGAAGCCACCTAGCGGGAGATGGAATTCTGAGGACACCAAGGCCACCAGTTCATCTGCACCGTGACAGCGTGTGTGTGTGTGTGTGTGTGTGTGTGTGTGTGTGTGTGTGTGTGTGTGTGTGTGCGCGCGCACACACCTCGGAGGGAAACGCTACTCAGGGCAACTGGTGGAGGAGAGGTGGCATTGTTCTACACAGGTAAAACTAACACTGGGGAGCCTGACACAGGAAGCCGGGTGGGGTGTGGGGGGTGTGAAGGGTGTGGGGGAGGTGTGAGGCAAAGAGCCTGGGGAGCATTTGACTTTAAGCATTGTTTTTACCAAAGGTACTTGAGCCTATCTGTTAAGTAAGTCTCTTTGGAAGTATAATTTCCAACTGAATTTATAGTAAATATTACCTTTTATATCTATTAGGTTTTGTTTAAAATTTCCGGAGCCACATTTCCTTGGGGACGTTTTCACTCTTCCAGAAATGACAAGATATAATGATGGCAAATTTGATTAAAAGAAAAAAGTTTATCAAACTCATTCCGTAAATACTCCGAGACTATGGAAATGCTATCTCAACTGGCTTAGGCACAAGTGGTCCCCAAGAGGGAGCCATCTGCAAACTCTCTGGTTTTACCAGAATTCCCTGTGCTGTCTTGACATAACTCCCTGCTGACGGCCTCTCTAAGAAATTTTTGGCTTTATGCGTCTAAACTTTAGGAAGATCAGTGTCTCTTGTGGACCGATGTGGGTGAGATCTGCGGCTGCCGGAGCTCTCATCTTACCATTGCTGTTCAGGGTTTTCATGATGACCTCCATCTGTGCAAACTCATAGTTGTAGTCTGGTTCTGAGGAAGCCTCGCTTGCAGCATCCAGGTCATGCTCTGCTGGACCTGCTTCTCTTTCAAAGTCTTTCAACCAATCCCGCCGTTTCCTCTTAGGTAAATTAATTCTGTGGGGTTTTCATGGTTAGATAAAAATCAGCTTGATTTATACTTAAATAGACAACAGAAAAAAATGTAACTGGAAAGACTAGAGAACACAAAGTTGTTACCTAAAAAAGTGGTTATTTCCCCATAAGATTCTGTCACCGTGCCATAGCTGGGTAGTACTGCAGACAAGAGTGCCATTTACACAGGACCTGAAGGGACACAAAGGAAGATGCCAGGTGGATGAAGACAGTGGTCCCAACATTCAGAGAAGTGACAGGGAACTTTCTCATACTGGATGTATTCTGGGGAACATTTGAAGAAGGAATAACAGAAACACAGTCTTAGCCATGAGCCAGGGAGGGTCGGCCAATTCCCCTAAGAGTGATGCCCAACTCTGTGTCTTCTGATGGAGATACTAAACATCCCTATAGGATGGTTTGTTGACATTTACAAACTGCACCTGGGGAGATGGCTCATTCAGCAAAGGTAGCCTGAGGACCTGAATTCAGAATCCCAGAATCACATAAAGCTAGGGGTAGCAATTCATCTTTAATCTTATCATTCTTATGGAGACAAGGAAGATAGAGGCAGAATCCCTGGATGCTCCAGGGCTGCCTAACCTGGTGTACACAGTACTGAACAAGTGACTCTACCTCAAATAAGGTGAGGAATGATACCTGTGGTCCTGCTCTGATCTCTACTACACATACACACACACACACACACACACACACACACACACACACAGAGAGAGAGAGAGAGAGAGAGAGAGAGAGAGAGATTAAAGCACTGCAAAAACAAATACACATATTCAACAGATCAATAAAAATGTTTGCTGGTAATTCAGAAACAAAATATGGGTATGGGAAGGTAGTTAAAAATATAGCCGGGCGTTGGTGGCACACGCTCTTAATCCCAGCACTCAGGAGGCAGAGGCAGGTGGATGGCTATGAGTTCGAGGCCAGCCTGGTCTCCAGAGCGAGTGCCTTGACAGCCTCCAAAGCTAGCTACACAGAGAAACCCTGTCTCTAAAAACTAAAAAATAAAAAAATAAAATAAACAAAAAAATTCCCTTAAGGACTGTCAAGGAAATCTGAAGACAGGAGATGGTGGATATTATTTTTACTTTTGGTTACTCATACAATCTCTCATTAGTGGAGTCCTGGGCTTGTCCGGATTCTGAAGCCTGAAGTTTCGAAATTCACACAGGAAAACATATATATCCTCCAGTGTAATAGTCTAACCCTGACTACTAAGGCTTTGCTATTACAGCAAATAGCAAAAACAAACTAATAAATGATGATAATGGATTGAACCTCTGAACTGTAAGCCAACCAATTAAATGTTTTCCTTTAAGAGTTGCTGTGGTCAGGCTGAGGAGATGGCACAGCCGTTAAAGGCTAGGCTCACAACCAAAAATATAAGAGTTGCTGTGGTCATGGTGTCTCTTCACAGCAAAAGAAACTCTAAGACAGACGTTGGTATCAAGAACTGGGGTATTGCTGTGATAGGCCCGACCATGCTTTTGTTTGGAGAAATTTGGACTCTGGGATTTTGGGTTAGAAAAGCAGTGGAATGTTATAAGCCCTGCTTAATGGGCCATACTAGTAGGAACATGGAAGACAGCAGTACTAAGAGTGATTTGAACTGTGGGGGGCTGACTCAAGAGGTTTCAGAGGAGAAGAATTTTAGTATGTGGCCTAGAGATCATTCTTGTGATATTTTGGTGAAGAAAGTTGCTGTTTTTGCCCCTGTTCAAAGAATACGCCTGAGGCTAAAGTGGAGAGTTTTGGATTAATTCTATTGGCAGAAGAAATCTCAAGACAGCCTAGTATTGACTCTGTTGTGTGGTTATTGTCACTCTTGTACAGATTTTATAATGAAAAGAAGCAAGCTAAGCAGGGCAAATAAAAAAAATGTAAAATTTGAGGAATAAAGGAGCATCAAATAGTGGAATGGAGCTAAGTCCTGAATTGGAGGAGATGAGCAGATTAAGAAATGGAATAAAGGGAGTGGTGACCTTGGGGCAAGATCCCACCCAGATAAATTTCCAACTTGTGAAAAGGAATTAAAGAAAAGCTTAGAGCTGATTGTGGTGGCAAACACTTTTAATCCCAGCACTCCTGAGGCAGAGGTAGGTGGATCTCTGAGTTTGAGGCCAGCTTGGTCTACAGAGGGAGTTCAAGGACAGCTAAGCTTAGGCAGTGAAGGAAGCCATGGAAAACAGAAAGCTGATGAGGATGTAATTGAAGGAGGGGGCCATGTTCCAGCTCCAGTAAGCAGCAGAACGTGGTGGCAGCTTTGGCCACATGGTCTGGCTTTAGGGTTAAGGACAGAAGAAAGGGGCTGTGGAAATTGCTTCCTCATTTAAGGAAAGCTGCTGAGGCCAGACATGTGTCAGGGGTGCCCCTGAATGGAGGCCTAGAGAGGTCATTGCAGGAAGCTGTGAAGTGAAGCCTGGATTGCCTTGGACTCCAAGATGTTAGAGATGCCAGAGCCATGGGATACCTGCAGAGGAGAGCTGCTAACAGACAGTGGAACCAGCCCAAGAGAGAGAAGAGTGCTGCAGTCAACAAAGCTGAAAGAGCTGGAGATCTGAAGACCATTTTGAGGTCAGACACGGAGATGCAGAGTCTGGAGTTTGTCCAGGTGGTGTTCAGTCTTGTGTTGGTGCAGTATTTCCTCACTATGCTCCCTCCCCTACATTTTAGAGTGGCAATGTATATCCTGTGTCATTATATGTTGGACCTGTTTTTTTGACTTTGATTTCACAGGGTATTACAGTTGAAAGACTGCATGAATCTCAGAAGAGACTTTGAACTTTGGACTTTTAAACAGTGTTGCACTGTGCTAGAACGTGGGGACTTTTGAAGTTGTACTGAACGCATTTTCGCATTATGATATGGCAAAATCGTTTGGTGGCCAGGGAGTAGAATGTGGTGGTTTAAAAGAAAATGAACACCAAAGGGAGTGTCACTATTAGAAGGTACAACCTTGTTGGAGGAAGCGTGGGTAGGGGAAGGCTTTGAGGTCTCTTTTGCTCAAGCTTCCTTTATCCTATTGTAGGCAAGGTGTACACTCTCAGGTCAGTGCTTGCAAACCACTATGCTCCCTATCACAATGACAATGGGTGGAACCTCTGAAACTGTAAGTGAGCCACCTCAATTAAATGTTTTCTTTATAAGAGTCACTGTGGTCACCGCAGGAGAAAACCCCAAGTCAACACTATTACTCCTCAAGGTTACTACCCTGCTATGATTTGAGTATGCAATGTCCTCACAGGCTCCTGTTCTAGAACAGCTGGTCCCTAGTGGGTGGCGCTGTATCCAAAAGTTGTGGAATTTGGGAGGCAGAGCCTCATTGGAGGAAATGGGTCACTGGGAACGGATCTTAGGAGATAAAGCTGCCCTGTGTCTGCATAGGTCTGTTTCTCTCTGCTTCCTGATGTCAGTTAGATGTGATGGTGCCAACTGCTCCATTCTCTCACTCTCAAGAGCCATGCTTGGGGGCTGGAGAAATGGCTCAGTGGTTAAGAGCACTGCCTGCTCTTCCAAAGGTCCTGAGTTCAATTCCTAGCAACCACATGATGGCTCACAACCATCTGTTATGAGATCTTGTGCCCTCTTCTGGAATGCAGGCAGACATGCAGACAGAACACTGCACACATAAAAGATAAATAATTCTTAAAAAAGAAAAAAAGAGCCATGCTTGCCACCATGACTTCCTAGACATGTGCACTGTACCCTTTCCAACTGTGAACCCAAATAAACCCCTCCTCCCAGGTATTTTTGGTTAAGGCAATGAGAACAGTAACTAATATATCCTCTGGAATCAGAATCAAACCCTCTAGGATACCCAGTGTATCCTTAACTTTAACGTAACTGAAGCAAGCAAAGGGAAAGGGCGGGCATCCTTCTGAAAACAAGGGAGGGCTGAAGCCTCTCCTACCTTGCGTTTTCTTTCGGTGTCAGAGTGATGTCTCCATCTGCTGCAATGTCAATCTCACAGTGCTCAGGCTGAATCCCTATTCCAAAGAGCTGGATGTCCTGAGAGGTATCTGCACCCACCCGGGTGTGATCCTAGAACACAGGATTGAAGAGAAGAAACCAAGTTCACAAGTAACTCCACCAAAAATGGTCACAAGCAATGGAATAAATTAGCAGCGCACACAGGACTGTACAAAATGAATCCCAAAGGAGATCTGGAGCATCAGAAAGCAAACGCTGGCTAGTGTGATGGCTCAGCGGACAAAGGCATTCATCACCAAACCTAATGATCTGAGCGAAGTTTCCAAGATCTACATGGTGGGAGGAAAATAGTCCTCAGACCTCTGTTCACATGCTGTGTGCACACCCTCCACAGATAGAAAAATGGCTAGGTAGGTAGATAGATAAATGGATGGATGGATGGATGAATGGATGGATGGATGGATGGATGGATGGATGGATGCAGTAATAATTTTCTTCAGCCAAAAGCTTACCTTGAAACAACTTTAAAAAGTAGTTAAACTCAGGTGGGTGGTGGTGGCACACACCTTTAATCTCAGCACTCTGGAGGCAGAGGCAGGAGGATCTCTGTGAGTTTGAGGCCAGCCTAGTCTACAGGGTGAGTTCCAGGACAGCCAGAGCCACACAGAGAAAACTTGCCTCAATTAATTAATTAATTAATTAATTAATTAAACAAACAGGGAAAATGTTTAAACTCTCTCAAAATCAGAGTTCAATTCCTAGCAACCACATGGTAGCTCACAATTATCTATAATTGGACCCAATGCCCTCTTCTGGTATATAAATAAACTACTATAACATACACATTCTGTCTGTGTATGATATAATAAAGCATGTTTGGTGGTCAACTGAATTCCCTTTGTCAGTTGGGGCATCATATACCAATGCAATCAAGTGTCCTATTTCAAATATCTCTTTTCCTCTTTCTTTCTCTCCCCTCTCCCTTTGGGATAGGGTCCCACATAGCACTGGGTGGCCTTGAACTTGCTATGCAGTGGAGTATGAGCCTGAACTCCCAATCCTTCTGGCCTACACTTTCCAAATACTGAGATTATTGATATGTTGATGGGGGATGTCCTTCTGTATATATATTTTTCTTTTTGGTTGATGAATAAAATACTGTTTGGCCAATAGATGCAGGAAGATAGGCGGGGCTAGGAGATGAGGAGAATTGTGGGAAAGGTAGGCAGAAGGAGACCACGAAGAGATGCCATGTAGTGGCCAAAGAAGTAACAGGTCCGGGCATTCTCTGATAAGCCAAGACCACGTGGAGATACATAAATTTATAGAAATGGGTTAATAATTTAGCTAGCCAATAAGAAGCCCCAGCCATCGGTCAGCAGGTTCATAATTAATATATGTCTCTTTTGTGTGCTCTTTTGGGGCTGAAAGCAGTTGTGGGACCTGGCTGGAAAGAAAAACTCCAGCAACAGTATGTGCTCCCACACCTGGCTCTGCCGTCCCATTTCTTGCTTAATAAAATTGGCCAGTAGTTCTAAACATGCAGCCCAAGACCTCTGACATTTCAAGAGACCCATGAGGTCAAAACCACTTAGGATAAACATTAAATGTTCTTTGTCCCTGCTTTCTCATTTTATCAAGCATGAATGGCAGGGCTTTTGCAGGTACCTGCTCAGTCAGCTGTGTTTGTGATTCAGCACCCCCAGTCTTAATGCTGTTCACACAGATGACTATAATCTAGGCACACAAAGGTGTACTGGAGTCCTTGATACTTTTAAAGAATGTGCATGGGGTCTAATGCCAGGAACTTGGAAACCCACTGCCAAGACATCCCCAGCATGGTCAGGGCACACTGAGGCCACAGCGCCAATGCTAAAAGGCCATAGGTGAAGGGCCATAAGACTAAAGTCCTCCCCTGACAATGGGGGTCAGGTCAGAGCTAGACACACTTGGAAGAACTCTGCTCTTGAATCTAGCCTAGGGTCTCTCTAGGCTTATGTGGGACTTGCGATCCCTTTAGAGTTACAACAAAGAATCACCATGGCTTCTTGGACCCCAGACACCTTGGAACTCTGTCACTTTATATTTGGGGCCTCCTCCAACAGGTGTACCCTGAGCTGTCCATTTATGTCCCTCTGCAGCCTGTACTCAAGGGCATGAGGTGAAACAAAAGTTGTTTCTTGTGATCAGTAATGAGGGATTGCCTCGTCCGTGGTATTACTTCTACTCGGGGTGAAGCTGGATACAAAAGGGAAAATCATGGGACCCAGGCGCCCAGGTTCAGCTGGGGTGATGCAGGATGGCGGTGGCCTGTGGATCAGACACGCGCCGCGCCTTCTCACCTTTAAATAGTAAACCAGAAGCTCATTGAGGGCAGGGTCTGCGTTCAAGTTGACAAGGTAGCACTTGTCATCCCCCACCTTGATCCCGGAGGTCTCCAGGGAGATCCCCATGCTCTCCAGCTGCCGCTGTCTCTCCTGGTCACGGAAACAGACAAAAGCAGAGACACTTTGTTGTTCTATTCACAAGATGTATCCATGGAAAGAGTAAGTCACTGTTTCCGGGGACAAGGCCAAAGAGATGACACATTGCACTCAGCTCAACTAAGTTTGCTAAGCACCTACAGTGTAGGACATGACAGTATCACAGGGCACCCAGGGCGAATCATACACAGTATCAACTCTCAAGAAAAGAAACGTCAGGGCAGAAGGACAAGACGGCATACCTAGAAGGCAAAAGGATAGCAGTGTGCCATGGAGGACCATGAAAGCTAGCATGGTTTCTGAGGAGGGGCAGGCACCGAAATGGGTTTAGGGAATGAGATTCTTGGAGCGCCAGATGACTTTCCATAGCAAGAAGCGAGACTGGTTGCTTGAATAGCGGTCACAGGAATGCATAGTCAGATTCTGGACACAGAGGATGGTTTCAGGAGACAAGAACTCCAAGCAAATGGGGAAAGCTGGAGGGGGCAGAGTTGGAAGAACAGGTAGAGACCCTGTGGTGATGGGCCTTGAGTTCACCTGCCCACGTAAGACTTATGTAAGTCTAGGACATGGTGGGTACTGATCAATGGCTGGGAACACAGCAGCTAATAAAACAAAGTCCTCCTCTCATGAAAACATACGGTCGTGTCAGAGGAGACAAGTGGCAGTGAGAGCTTGTGACAGTGTCAACAGAATGAAGGTGTTCATAAAATGCAGTGTGGAGTGATGGCAGACACACGCTCCCGCTGCGTTACCCCTGTGTCACACAGTCCATTTCACTGAATGCTCATACAGCGTCTTCTAATAAGCACAAGGAATCAAATGGTGATAAACTATTGTGTTGTGTGTCTTAAAACTTCCTGCCAATCAGACCTTTCAATGCCATACTTCACCAAGCCCTCTAAAAACAAAAAACAAAAAACAAAAAACAACCAAACCACTGAGGCACAATGTGGACCCCTTTGTTCATATGAGGAGCAGAAAGCAGGAAAGTCCTCCCCTCCCCCAAGCCTTGCATATTCCATGGAGCCTTCCAGCCGCACAGGATTATACACAGACTGCTGCAAGATGTCAAGCTGGGGCTTTAAAATGAGCTGGCAGAGAGAACGAGGCCCATGAGGGTTTCGGAGGAGGCAGGTGGAAGGAAGGAGGCCTTAATGTTTCAGGCTAACCCATCAGCCCACCTGTGCGATCTCTTCCGTTTTCCTCAGCTTTTCTTCCCATGTCACTGTTAGCTCCTTTATCAGTTTCTCAGACTCTTCAAGCTTCTCCTTCAGCTCGGGGGCCTTCATGGCCTTTACAAATAAAACCAGAGACACCGGCTTTCACACTCTTTCGGTATTGTGCACAGTACATATATAATGGTAACCCTTTCTGTGGTACTGGAGTTTGAACACAGGACCCTGCGCATTCTGTATGCAGCTATATGCATGCTCCATATGGTTATGGGCTACACCTCAACATCCATATGTTCTCCCTCGGCAAGTATTAATAGTCTTTCAGAAGCAATTAAGTCACGTACTGTCGGCGTGGGCCTTGGAATTCCACTAATCAAAGCAAATGGAAGAGAACATGGTTATCTCTCTTTAGAGAAAAATCGGTAATGGCTAATGGGTGTTTCATTAAAAGACTAGAAAAAAGTGCTACAGTTCACTTCTGAAATATCAATGTAGGAAAAAGGCAATTTAAGCAGATTTATTTTTTCAGTAAGACAGAAATCAACAATGTCGTCCATAAATATCCTGTAGCTACAGTAACCAATTGGGAGCCTGTCCATCAACAAGACTAAGGAAAGGATACCCAACATCTACAAAAGCTGCATGGAAACAGTTAATTTAAAAAACAAAAACAAAAAACAAAAAACAAAAAACCCCAACAGACTGTTCTTAGGATTTCCCATTTGAAGTTCAAGGGCCATGCAACTGGCTGAAGCAAACAGTGAGGTAGTGATGGGAATGACCTCACTTCCCTCCTTGTCGGCAAGCTGCTAGGGCATGAGTGGGCCTTAGTCGTGCTGTTCTTCACAATGCTTCTTAGCCCAGAGCAGATGCCAGCACACAGTGACATGCTGAATCACACAGATATAACCTAGGGCTGTCAGCCAGCGTGCCCTCACCCATCAGACACACAAGTCAAGGGCTCCAGGCACCGGGCACGGCAGAAGATGTTACCTCAGCCTGCGAGAGCTGCTCTCTCAGTTTCTCCACCTCCTCTCGAAGTTCTCGGATGACTTTGGCGTTGGGATCCTCGTTCACTACAGCGTGGTTCACGATCCTCTTGGCTCGATCTGCGTATCTCAGTGTGGACAGCGTCTCCTCATAGTTGTCTGCTGCTGGACTGATGGTGGCTATCATAGAGGTCTGGCTGTTCCCTCCCAAGTTGTCCTGTAAAGAATTTCAGATTGGGGGACTGGAGAGATGGCTCAGTGGTTAACAACACTAGCTGTTCTTCCAGAGGTCCTGAGTTCAATACCTAGCAACCACATGATGGCTCACAACCATCTGTAATGAGATATGGTGCCTTCTTCTGGACTGCAGGGATACATGCAGAGAAAACACTGAATGCATAATAAATAAATAAATAAATGTTAAAAAAAAGAATTTCAGATTGTACTTTGTTGAAGACCACTTCATGACAAATGTGACAAAAAGAGGAAATACCTACTTGTGACTTTGTTCTTCATGAAACACATGCAATGTGAAAATGTGTTAATACTTTGCACATAATTTTATAAAAAGATGAAATGTGGCCTGTTTATACTTATATCAATAAATAGTACCTAACCAAGGCCATTGTAACAGAATAAAAATAGTAAGTAGTGTTAATTTGTGTGTGTATGCTGTTGTGTGGTACGTGAGTGTACAGGTGTGTGCATGGGTATAAACATGACAAGGAAAGAGAAAGATGCCAGATGTCTTTCTTGGTTACTTTTACTTCCTTGAGATAGGGTCTCACTGAACTGGAAGCCAGATGTTTCAGCTAGGCTGGCTGGCAAACAGGCTCCACCCATCTCCACACTCAACCTTTTACATGGACTTTGGGGATTTGAACTCAGGTACTCATGCGTACTCAAGCAAACGATCTTACCTGGTAAGCCATCCCCACACTCCCTACAAAGTTGTGTTCTTTGTGCATCACTAAGAATTAGGATGACAGGATTGTGTGTGCTTCGTAAGTCCTACACATTTCTTTCATAGCCTTCATATCGGAAACAGCAAGCTTTAGATAAAAATGAATCCTAGGTCAACAAATTACCTTAAGAAGCCAAGTGAGAACTGAATCTCGATAAGGCACAAATTTGTTTTTGCCTTTGCCAGCCGCCTGGTCAGCAAGTGATGATATAACCAACCCCAAGGTGGTAAGCGATCTGTCACAAAACGAATGAAATTAGGCTTTGTGGATATTTGTTTTTATAAAATAACCATCTTTCTAGACAGCAAGAATAAAAGATGCAGAACAGTTAAAGTCAACAGTATGTTAAATTTCCAATAATTTTCCCAGAAGTCAAGAACAAAGAAAAAATAACCCATTAACATAAAATAATGAATTTGGAATTTCTATAAGAAAATATGCCTAATTGCAGATTTCCTAAAATGTACATTTTAAAACCTCAAAACATGCAATTATAAAATCATACTAGAAAGTACCAATTCACTCCAAATATTAAAATCTGGATTACTTAATTTTGAGGTCAAATTTGGGCTACTCAGGGCTCTGCTCTTGCTTCTTGCAGAACACCCGCCCTCCCCGTAACTTAGTGTTTAAAGCTGGTGATGTGATTCAGTGTTGGGTTAACACAGTTTCACAAAAGTGAAGATTTGTGCAAATGGAGCACAGCACCAGACTTGGTTACTGAGAGGAGCATGGGTCAAGGGCTTTTAAGAAAATCCCAGAAGCCTCCCCAGAACTACTAAATCAGACAAAATTCTCTCAGGGTCCTACACGCGCGCGCACACACACACACACATACACACACACACACACACACACACACACACACACACACACACACACACTTGAGAACTTGCAGCTGACAATACCCAAGGATGCCCATATTCAGCTGTCTAGGCTCATCATTAACAAAGCACAGTCCTGGGACTTCAACCATCACCACCATCATCATCTTTGGGAACTTATCAGAAATGCAGACTCTCTCAGACCCTACCCCAGCCTGCTGAAGGGTGAACTCCAGCAGGACTCAACCACCTGCATCTGACAAGCTTTCCGGGCCATCTGACACAGGCTACTTTCTGAGAAACGTTGGCAGTGCTTTGGTGCTTAACTTGTGTGGTGGATTTGAACGAGCGCTGTCTCAGGCTGGCGGCCAAAGGCAGCGGTGGGGACGCAGTAGGCGGCTGCGGCCAGAGCAGCAGCTGTTGCTCAGTGTCAGATGACACTTACTCCACAGCTCTTTTCAAGTCTACCCATCTCCTAGTCTGCTGTTAGGAAACTCCTAATCTTCAGATCTCTTACTAGTTCTTGAGCAGGATGGGAATTGGGAGGAGCTGGATGCAGCGGAAGGAAGAACCTTAGTTTGGGACAACATTTATAAACAGTCCTGGCTTGTTTCCATTGGGCTTTTGGTGGCACTGGGGGTGGATGCAGGGTCTCACGAGCTGTTTTTTTTTTTTTTTTTTTTGAGGTCCACCCACAGTCTCTCCTCAAACATTGCTACTTAAAAGTACCAAAATTAAAAACCTACTAATACATAATAACAGAGAAGCTGGAATCAAAAAGAAAACAAGCAGGGGCTCGAGAAGTCACTCGGGGATAAGCACATCCTCTCCTGTGAAGAATCCCCAGGAGACTTGCAACCAAGCCCTCTTCTGGCCTCTGTGGGCACCTGCACTCATAGGACTGTGCAGGGACATGGACTTGGATGCAGACATGGACAGAAATAAATTAAAAAAAAAATAAAGACAAAACCAACTAGGGAGCTGGGCATGGTGGCACATGCCTTTAATCCCAGCACTTGGGAGGCAGAGGCAGGTGGATCTCTCTGAGTTCGAGGCCAGCCTAGTCTACAAATCGAGTTCCAGGACAGGCTCCAAAACAACACAGAGAAACCCTGTCTTGAAAAACAAAACAAACAAACAAACAAATGAACAACAACAACAACAACAACAAAACTACGGAGGATTAAAGGCAGAATGAAGGTTGCTGTAGTAAATATAATGGATGAAGGGAATTTGAGTTGCCATTCCATTTCTTTTCTTTTTTTTCCCTATACCTTAAAACTTTCATCACCAGAATTCTTCCCTAGCCAATAGATTTCTGCATTGTTGAAACTGGGTGTCTGATACTGGAATACATTCTTAGGGAATGTATGAATATCATTTTAATGGACATTTCTTTTTTCACTGGTTACTTATTTCTTGCTATAGATTTTTATATTTATTTTATAACTTGGAAATGATGTTAGACAAAAAGCAAATGGGAGGAACTTTCTTATGCAAGCTCAAAATGAGTGGACAGGCAGCTGAGACATCTTGAAGCATCAATAGATCATCTGGACCACCTCACAGCATCAACACAGCAGCTGGCCCAGGAATTGCCAAGGAGTGAAGTGCAATGGTGGGTCAAAAAGTTTTGCAAAGATGACCCACTGTGTCACATGACAGCTTCCACAATGAGATTTTTTTCCTTTTTCTTCTTTTCTCTTGAATTTTATTTTGTGGGGGGAGGTTGCAAAGGCAGAGGGCGGATAGGAGGGGATGGGGAAATGAATGGGACCGAGACACATGATGTGAAACACACAAAGAATAAATAAAAAGAAAGTTTAAAAAAAGTTTTGCAAAGGAAACAAGGGACCTGGAGATGAAGAGCCCTGGAGAAGTTGAACAGTTATTCCAGGAGTCTGCCTGTGAGTGGAAAGCCCAGAACAGTGAGAGAAGGAGCGGCCACTCACACCTTCCTTGATGCCATGCTCCAGTCACACTGTCCACTCTGACGTTGACAGTGACCAATTGAGAACGATCACAGAAGCCAATCCTCTTAAAAGTACATGGGAAGCAGTCAAGGAACGAAACACAGACCATGTAACAGTCATTCTCAGCTGTCAGCAAGAGGACAGGCAGTCAGGGAAAGGCTCGAACTCGTGGGCAGTGGGCTTGTGGCTCAGGCTCTTCCGTAACAAAATGAGCATGAACCAGGAAAAGTATTCAAGAGGGAAAAATGAAAAGATTGCTATTAAGCTTTTAAGTTAAAAAAAGTTGTATGACCTAATCATACAAGTAATATGTTTGACTGTTTCTTGAGTAGAATCCAATTTTGGAAATACTAATGGACTATTATCATTGTTATTTTATTATTTAGTTTTGCAGAACTGGGGGCTGAACTGGGGGCCTTGCCCAGGGTGAGCCACTTTTCTCTTTGTCTTCTAAGACAGCCTTACTGAGTTGTGAGTTAGCCCTCAACTCACTCTGTAGCCCACAAAAGCCTTGAACTTGTGTCTTCCTACCCTAGCCTCCAGAGTAAATGGGGTGATGGGGATATGCAGATGTTTTACCACAACAGAAGAGACGGAGACAAGACTAGGAATAGGTGGAGAACATGGTCCAAGTCTGGGAGCCTTAGGAAGAGTGCTCCATGAACTGAGCCAGTTTGTGGAGAAACGGAGGCAGCCAGAGTCCAGCAGCAAGGAAATGGCTTCTCCATGCCACTTTCGCTGGACAGGTGGAGTTGCAGCCTGGCATTCTGACAGACAACCTGTCACCCTGGCTCCCCAGGAAGAATGTCTACACATGAGCTACATCCCCTCGCTCCTGGACAGTGCAGCCACACACTGCCTTGGCGCCTCCATTCCTCACACGAAAGGAGTGCCACACACTTTATAGCACTTAAGTGCTTTGGGAGAGGTGACGCCCCTGGATCTGCAGTGCATTAGGCAGACACTGAAGTCCCTGTGAAGCTGCTGACAGGCCTGCTTAAGAGGATTATTGATGCTGCATAGGAAGAAGCCCGCCGAGAGGCTGAGAGCACAATTAGGAAACACATCAGCGATTTCTTTAGCTTTAGCATCCGGGCTGGTCACTGATCATGAGGCTTAGAAAGCCCTCTGTGGGACTATGAACAATTTAATCTTATTAAACATTGCTAGCACACACTCAGCTTCCTATATGCCAGCCACTGCCCTAAGTACCTAATGAGAAACCACTGGCTGAATCTTCACAGGAAGTACATGACTGACAGCTTCCTGAGTCAAGTTTTTTACAGAGGAGGAAATCGAGGGAAGGTCACATGGTCGGTCTGGATAACCAGGAAATTGCAGGGTCTCCCCTGGAAGCCCATTTTGACCACTCCCAGTCAGCTGTGATTCACCTCTGCTGGCTTCTCACTGCTCTTCACATGTTTCTATGGCAATCTCTGTACCAACACAGCAGCTCCAAAGCTATTTCCACTCTACTTCCCAAGGCCAGGGTTGCAACTTACTCCGCCTGTGTTCTAAACAGTACCTAATCATCACTCAGTTGCTAAAACAGGTCTTCTAAGTTCAAGTCTGTATCTGAGATCCTTGAGCATGTATGTGTCTTGAAATTTGGAATATTTCAGAATTCTCTATTCGTTATATACACTGCGGGACCCCTGGATAGATCTTGGACAGTCTCCATAATAAATATGAAATATCCATGATGTGAGTAAATAAAGACAGTCTATGTAGAAACAGTCTAGAGCTATAGTCTGGAGGCTACATCATAAGACTGGAGTGGTCTTGATTTGGCCTAGTCAAGAAAAATCCCTGTGCCTTCTGCTTCTGGAGTGGTGGTGCTCTTTCTCACCTGACTCAAAGGCTCCCTCAAGGGTCACGACCCTGTTGTCACCATAGATGTCATGGCTTAAATCCACATGGCTTTATAATTGAACAGCTCTGGAGATTAGAAACCCAGACTGCACACCACTGGACTAAGGCCAAGGCGTTGGTGGATCTGCATTACCTGGGAAAGCTCTAGGAAGCCTCCACACTCTATCATCTCCCACCTTCTACATACCACCCTCATTCACAACTCACGTTTCTTCAAGCAGAGCCAAAGTCATGTCTCTTACTTTCTTGCTGTGTCTCAGGCCCACCTCTCTCCCTCTTTGATTTGTAAGGATGCTTTGACACATAGGGTCCACTTGGATGATCTCTATATCTCAACGATCTGGCCCTAATTACAACTGCCAAAGCCCTTTGCCTTGTAACACACACACAGGTTTGGACTTCACAGTGCGGAGCTATCATGGTGTTTCAAGTCCTTCTGCATTCCCAGCATGCATTGCAGGGATGGCACAGAGTCCATTATAACTCATATTTGATGGACTTTCATTTCCAAACATCAGTTTACGAGTCTTTAAACTACCTGTTATATCAACAGACACAAAATGACCAGCTCTGTGTCCTATACAAAAGAGCTACAGAGAACACTGAACACAGAGGTCTCACCTCACAAGGCAGCAGGAAGGCCTACACACTCCATTGGTCAGGGACCTTGGTGTGTAAGTTAGGAAAAGGGTAGGATGCTAGGAGAACTCATAGGTCATTATACAAAAGTTGTTAGGGGATCTAAACAATGTTACCACCCAGCCCTGGGAGAATCCAATTTGTTCCAGTCAGGATTTCTAAATAACATAGTATCAAAATATAAGGGACATCATCAGGCTCCATGCTAGAACCTAAGAAACAGACTCTTCTAGGAAAACAACACACAGCTGATGGAGCTTTCCCATGGTCAACCCCAAGTACCACATTTCGGGTTCAATGACCTCAGGTTAACTACCTGATTGCTATCTGGCTGAGTTTACTCATCAGCCAAACAAAGATACGAAATCCAGCTTGCAATGCTGAGGGTGGGTTAGGGCTGGAGAGATGGCTCAGAGGTTAAGACACTGGCTGCTCTACTGGAGGAGGTGGGTTCAATTCCCAGCACCCACACGGTGGCTCACAACTGCCTATAATGTCAACTCCAGGGGACCCTTCCACACTTGCGTGTGCACATAAACACGCACGCACGCACACACACACACACACACACACACACACACACACTGCTCCTGTCTCTGCTTTCCCGCCCTTTACTGGGCTCTTGGGAAGAAGAGCTGCAGGGCCACCGGGGCCTCCTGTGATGTCTTGTCATGAAGCAAAACAAAGCCCTCCTTATCAGAGCCCCAGAAAGGATGACTGGGAGGTAAAACCCCTAAAAAGGAGAGACTCTTCACTGTGTGCAGCTGTTCTGGCCTGATAAAGGGGTGATACTCCACATCTGGTTTTTTCTAACTCTCTGTGCCAGTCTGATGCTAAAATGCCAAGCTGCAGGAACATGCTCCTGAATATATTTCCGTTGTCACACTCTGTTCAAGACAAGACCTCAAATTACAATTAATCATCAGAAAGAGATAACAGCTATAAACTATTTTTTTGTTAGAACTTGGGATAAGAATAGCAATTATGCTAATTAGAAAAACACTACTGATGTAATTAGTATTTATTTAGTACAAACCACACACCAGGCATAGTTCTAAATACATGATGGCATTTTAATCTTCAACAATCTGAGGAAGCAGCTACTCTTTAACCTCCTTTTGTTAGATGAAGAAAATGAGGCAGAGTGACTACGTCATTTGCCCAGGATACATACAGCTATTAAACAGTGGATATGTGATGAACTCTAGGATATAAAGCCTCTTCCCTTTCAATTTGGAGAGGACTTCCTCCTGCGTGCCTTCTCATGGCATGAGCCATTGGGATCCTGCAGACTGAGTCCTGCCTTCTTAGGTTCCTCCTTGTTGGAAAACTCCAACCCGAATCCTACCACTATGCTTTCTCTCAGACTTTGCAAAGCAACACACACGCACGCACGCACGCACGCACGCACTCCAGTCCAGGGTGATATTACTCAGTAACCTTTAGACTCATCTACATCACTCATACACAAACAGCATCAGCTTTACAAAGGCATTTAAGGCAGGCTTTTCTGTGATACAGTCTTGTCCTATAACATCAAGTTTGACGTTTACCCAAGATGGTATTGCCGGCGTTCCCTGACTTGCAATGGGGTTAGCTCCAGATAAAGCTGCTTCAGCCAGAAACTCTGAGTCAAGGTCACAGTTAACACATACACCCTAACCAGCGCTGCGGCTTAGCAACCCAGCACACTGTGTAGTGTTGGATGTGTCTCTCCAGTGAGCTGTGGGTTGCCATCATCTACTCAGCCTGCAGTACAGAATCAGACTACACATCTTCCCAGAAAACCTGGGAAATCCCAAGTTGAACCATTCGGGCTGGAATGTGCTTGAACATTTGGTCCCCAGATGGTGCTGCTGTGTGAACCTTCAGGAGGCAGAGCCCTGGGGATTAGGCCTTGAGGTTTAAGGCCGTGTTCTGCCCTCCATCCATCCCAAAGAAAGCCAGCCAGCTCCCATAGCCGCAGCCAGGGCACTACTCCTGTCCCCATGCTCTCTGCCACGATGGACTTTTAACTGTGAGCCCCCACACACTGTTATAATCAAAGCGACAAGAAAACTTAACTACTACTGCAGGCACCCTGAGCTGGGGACCAGCTGTCCACATGACAATACACATAGGCACTGTTCCACTTGGCAGGGGTGTGGCTGGGCTATACCGCATGACTTTACTTCAACACATGTCATGCACTGGAACAATGTCAGACTGCGTTTGTCTCCACCGGGCTTACTAAAGTTACAGGCGCTTAAGCAGCTTTGCATTAGAACCCCTGGTTCCTCACAATGCAACCAGCCCCCCAAACTCAAAGCAAACAACCTTGTCACCCAAGTCGCTCCAATCACCTTACTTGTTAATGTTGCTGCCTTCTTTCAGCCGCTCGCCTGCAGCTCCTGTCTTCGACACTCTCTCGCTTCCTGCCAGGTCTACCAGGCTCACCTTACTGACTTTCTCCCCTGAGTTCTAATAGGAGGAAATAAGAGAGAAACAGCAGACATGAGGGAAAGCCACACGGGTACTGCCGTTTTTATCAGCGCTGTGATCCACAACACCACAAAGGGCTGAGGATATTAATCGCAGTTATCTTGGCCAGCGAGTCACTTCCTCAAAGAGGAAATTTTAAATCTTTTTACTGTGCATGTATGTGTGGTACATACACATGAATTCCACACCGCTGAGGCAGGATCTCCCTTGTTAGCTGCAGTGGTCCAGGCTAGCGGGTCCACAGGCTTCTGCGGATGCTCCATCTCTGTTCTCTCCTGTCATTTCATTATAGGATTCCAGATGTGCACTGCCATTTGACTTGACGTGGGCTATGGAATCCAAACTCTGGCCCCGGTGTTTATGTGGCTTGGGTTTTTCCCACTAAGCCATCTCCTGAGCCCCTAAGTCAAAACTTAAAATATTCTGCTCTGCAGCTCGGGAGAAAGTTTTCCAGATATCCAAGGCAGCTGTGGTGATATCTTGCTTGCACAAATAAAGCTTGTCTGAAGATCAGAGGATGGAGCTTGCCACTAGCTAACCTTAGGGGTCTGGAGTCTGTACAAACAGACAGGAAGTGAGATGGCTGGGCGGAAACAGGAAGTGAGATGGGTTGGTGGAGGGAGAATTTAAGTGGGAAGAAACAGGAACTCGCTCTCTTCCACTGGGAAGCTAATGAGGTAAAGGTGGCCTTGGCTTGCTCCTTCTTCTCTCTGATCTCTCAGCATTTTCCTCTGTATCTGGCTCCAGGTTTTTATTATTGAGACCAATTAAGAACTCCATTTACAGACAGAAGTACTTCCAGAACAGTTAGAAGTCCAGACTGCTAGGACAGTTGCAAGTACTTCCAAGGCAGTTGGAAGCTAGAGGTTTTATGCACCTTGGAGGAAATATGAACACATGAAGCTCCTTTGCATTTGGGTCAAATTCTACCTTTCTGAGATGTGGATTTTTGAATCAAATGTTGTAGTTCCTTTTGTAACATCTCACAGTAGCCATGAAGTAGACTTGATTGTTTTTAGGGAAATTTTAATAAGAAAGAATACATATTTGAAAGTCATATGGTGATATTATCATGCTGGTTAGGATGTTTACACACAAAATCAATGTTTTTTGTGTTATTTATTTATTTATTTATTTATTTATTAAATGGAGTCTGAAGAAGTAGAGGATGGCTTTGGACTTCTGATCTTCCTGCCTCTAGGTTTCATGTAGCACTGGAGAATCGAACTAAGGGCTTTATGTATGCTAGGCAAGCACTCTACCAACTGAACTATATCTCCAGTCCTGAAAAATTCGATTTAAAAGTGCTGGTACAAAAGGAAGGCCTAACAACCTAGGTGACTTAAGTAGCACAAATGGCAAGACGACAACACACAGTTCTCAGCCTCTGAACCCAGTCGTGAAATACTTCCCCTGTTTACACTCAGAGCTCCCCAACCTCGGAAGGCTCCACCTTGTCCCTCACCCCAGACTGCAGGTCATACAGCGTCTGTGTGATGATGATGTTGAACACAGCATGCGAGCGGCTGCTCTCTTCATTCATGTTGGTTGCAGCTACTGTTCGAGACTTATTTCCCTCAGACATCAATGACTCAATGTCCTAGAGGCAAAGAAAGTACTATGAGCAGACATGGAGGTGCATCCGGCACCCCAGGGCTGTGTTCAGTATGATCCTGTGCCTTGGCCGTACCCTTCCACAGAGACAGCCAGCCTCTTCCGCACAGTGCGGCTTGAGCCTCCTCCCTACAGAGAGCCTTCTTCCTTCTCTGCTCTAGCTCTCTTCTTGCCCTACTCACACCTCACTTGTTCCTTTACCCATCCCCAGAAGAGCAGACCCTTACTGAGCACTATACACGCTCAAGAACAAGTCACCTCATTTAATTCCAACTCTCCTGTGCCTGTCACCGTGGTGTGGCTGCCTGTCCCCTGCTATCCAACTCCCTCTGCTGACAACTGTGGCTCTGCAAGAGCAGGGGACTTTCTCTGTTATCTTTGTATCCTCACTCATAGTACATGCCTGGAGCCTGTGTGCTCTTGGAAGACATTTGCTGAATGAATGCTATGAAAGAAACTCTCCACACACCAAGATGCTGATGGAGGTCACCTGAGATTCCCCGTATCTGGGGCGGGGGTGGGGGGCTGGGGGAGACAGCACTCAGGTGCAAAAGGAGTTTCCTGGCTGTTGGGAGTAAGTGACAAGATGTCAGGGACCCAGCTCCATTGCCGCTAGCTTTGTCAAAGTGCTGACTGGACACCACTGAGCCGGAAGGGCTGTTTATTCTCATCAAAACCTCAGTGCATTTAAAGTCATGAATGAGTCCAAGTCTAACTCAAGAAACACAATATGTTTTTATTTAAATAGTTGGACACGGATTCTCATTTTAGCTCTACTTAGTCTCAGATGACCATGGGTCTCCTACATCTCTTATATATCTATTGTAAGAAAATATAGGGGTTTGTTCATCTATTCATTCTCTCATTCATCAGCATTCTCCAGCAAAGAATTAACAATCTGTGCTACAAGACTTGGATCCAGGTTAATGACTGTAGAAATAGAAGTAGTACATCTGGGTATAAAAGTCAAGGGCTGGGAGGAACATGGATCAATCGTTGGATAAAGGAGTGATTCAGAAAAACAGGGGGCAGCAGAGCAAAGAGCATTAGAAGTCAAAGCAGGGTCTGCCTACAAGAAGGGATTAGCCAACCACCAAATATCATATAGACTATCAGATTTGTTCAAAGGATGTCAGTGGCCATGTTGGGGAGACGGTTCAACAGAGGCAAGAAGGAAACACTCAGAAACCTGACCGCCTGACTTTCCGGCTTCACAACTCTTCACAGCCAGAAGTGTGTGGGAATGGTATTTCTCCCTGGCTGTGCCGGTCTGTATGTCTGAGGCTGTGAATGGCATCAGTATGCTATCACACATCCATACAAAAACAGGCTCAGCATCACCTATCCTGACTTACTGCCTTTTCTTCTTTAATGATATTAAAAAAAAAGACTCTTACCTCAAAGCTGGTGACAGCCAGCTGTGACAGCCCATCTACATACGGCCCCAGGACCTTATGCTCTCGGACCTTAAGAGATTGCCTACTCCTGTAGGAGAAGAATCAGAGTGAGTGAATCTTACACACTGGGAACTGCTTAAGCATTTGGAAATTCAGATTACAGTTTCCAAGGGTTTTCAGAAATTACAAGGTACTCTAATAGTCATGGCCTAGCAAAGCAGCATCCCACACGAGAAATGCATTTGACCCTGATTTCAAACGTCAATACTATTTTAAAACATCTCTCTCGTCCCAAGAAAAGTCAGAGCAGCTAAGCCTAGGCTTGGTTCTCCTGTGTGAATAGATGGAGAAGCCTGTACATTCTATATCAAGAACATCTTAAATTCTTTCTGATAGGTTTATTTATTCTCTTGAGAATTCCAAACAAAATATTTTGATCATATTCTCTCCCCTCCCCAACTCCTCCCATATTCTCCCCACCTACCTAGCTTCATTGTTTTTTTTTTTTCTCTCTTAAGGTTAAAAAATTTGAGCAAATACTGAACAATAATAAAATATTTTTAACTTTAATTTACTTTTTCAAGTTTCACTGATTTGTGTTGGCTGAATGCTGGATATTTTATACAGAAAGTCCGATAATAACACAATTGTAGCCACTGATGTCCGATATTTGAACTGGCTCTGCTGATGACAATTTTGGCGGCTCTAATTAATGTGTGTGTGTGTGTGTGTGTGTGTGTGTGTGTGTCTGTCTGTCTGTCTGTCTGTCTGTCTGTCTGTCTGTCTGAGATGGTACACATATGATGTCAGAGGGAAGTGGTTTCTCTCCTTTTACCACATGGATCCCTGGATCAAATTCACGTTGCTGGGCCCAGCAGCAAGTCCCGTGAGCCATCTCACTGCCTCTTTAGGGCTCTTAAGAATACTGAATGGTTACCTCTGATTTGGGAGCCATCTGAGATATTTATCAGACCAATGAGGTTTAAGACTCAGAGCTATTAGATTCTTCCTGTACTGTAGGTGCCATCTCTTTCATGCCACAGGGTGTTTAATCACCTTTCAAAGAGTTAATGCTTGGCGCCTCTCAGATGTGGGAAATCCCTGGTGCTTCTGAAAGTCTTGGCAAAGTTTCTGAAGCATTTTTTAAGCTCTTCCCTTTAATCTCACATTTGAGGATGAGAATTCAACATCACTATAGCAACTCTGTTGGACTCAGAGACCAAAAATTTGATCTTCAAGATAGCTACTGTCATGTATACACCCCAGTAGTGGGCTCATTCTCCTTACCAGCCAAATTCTGTGATGCTCTCAATAGCAAGGAGTAAGCTAGCATACTCTCAAGGGGCCCTCAGGCTGATATCTGGAATTCCTGCATACCGTTGGTGCTCTATTTAATGAAGCAAGAGCCTCCTTATCTTGTGACTCCAGTCCTATCTGCAGATGAACCTTCTAGAAACTCCTGGACCTATGTGCCAGGAAGCCTGCCTATGAGGACTCAGAGCAGCACTAGACGGAGGAAATGTGACACCATGCAAGTGATGAGAAAAAGAACAAACTGTGATCACACAATGGATATTAAACAATAGCCAAAGCTATCACATCATTGTCCCATATATAAAAACTAATGGCATGAATATATGCTGGTGCTGTTTATACAAAGTTAAAGGTTGTACAAAATCATGGCTAAATGCTGCAGAAGAGAAGGAGAATGGTAAATATAATATTCCTTATAGCAGGTGACTTGGGGATTGGCAGGTAAAGGAATAAATCTCTAGGGGGACACATAGGGAGATTAAGAATTACTGGTCAGGTTCCATTTTCTAAGACAAGTGGTGAGTAGGCAGGGATTGATTTTGTTATTCTCACAAACATTCCTTTGTATAAGCAGTGAGTAACTCTTTTGAGTAGACACAAACTTTTCCGTGACTGGGAACGTTCTTGATGTCTATAATATAACTGTTAAAAGCTTGCTTTCATTTGAGAGCACAGGAGTGGAAAGTGGGCAGGAATGTTACATATGGCACAGCTGCTCAGACAACTGAGAAGTATTTACTGATGGAGAAAGTGGTCATCAAGTTACACAGGAAACTCAGGACACTGGACTGCTATTATAAAATACCCAAGGATGCGAGCATATCCACACAAGGCACAGATCTGAAACACAGCAGGGAGATGTGCTCGGGTGTTAACTAAGGTTATTTGTGAGTGCTATGATTAAATGTCAACTTTATTTCTTATAGTCCATAAGATACACACACACACACACACACACACACACACACATGCTTTCTATATTTTTTCCAATTAATTACTTATAATCAATGAAAACTTTTGCCTGGGGCAAAAAAGAATTTATAAGTCGGGGGTGGGGGGGATGGAGCTGCCTTTAATCCAAGCACTCAGGAAGGAGAGGCAGGTGGATCTCTGTGAGTTCGAGGACAGCCTGGTCTATAAAGCTACAGAGAGAAACTGTGTCTCAAAAAAAAAAAAAAAAACAAAAAGATAAAAAAAGAAAAGAATTTATGAATCAAACTCACCTAGATTTTAACACTTAAGTTTTTTGTTTTGTTTGGTTTGTTTAGATTTCTCAAAACAAGGTGTCTCTGTGTAGCCCTGACTGTCCTGGAACTTGCTCTGTAGACCAGGTTGGCTCCAAACTCATAGATCCACCAGCCTCTGCTTCCTCAGTGCTGAGACTAAAGGCGTGTGCCACCACATCCAGCATCACCTAGTTTTTGAAAGATGTAGATGCCTGGGTTTCACCGGGGTCTCCCAAAACATTTAGAATGGGGATGTGAACTCAAGCCAATCAAGACCCTTAAAGAGCTCCCTGCATACTCCCAACATAACCAGAGAAGGAGCAATGGCTGTAATCCTCCCACTAGTTAACTTCCAATTCAGAGCTACAATTTATGAATGCAAGGACTACTGTGTAATTAGAACACAGTGTTCTGTTGTTCCTTTGAGACAGGGTCTCACTACATAACTCTGGTCCAGAACTCACTATGCAGCCCACGATGGCCTCAAACAGTAATCCCCGTGCTTCAGCCTCCGAATGCTGGGATTATAGGCATGCACCATATCACTCAACTCTTTAATTCATATTTACTTCACTTTATTTTTATTTTATGTATACTTCCCTGAATGCATGTCTATGCACCATGCGTATACAGCACCCTCAGATGCCAGAAAAGGGCGACAGATCCCTTGGGATTGGAATTATAGATGATTGTTAGCCACCTTGTAGGTGCTGGGACTGGAACCTGGGTCCTCCGGAAGAGAAGCCGGCTTTCTTAGCCACTGAACCATCTCTCTAGCTCCTATAATTTAGTTTTAATGAATTCTCCCTGGTGACAAAAACTAACACCAGTAGTCAAAACATCTTTTCACACGGTGATGTGAGTAACTTTACATGACAGTTTAGGATAAACTGCATATAAGTGACACAGTGACGAGTTTGGGGAAGCTCCTCCTTCTCAGTACACAAACTGACACCAGAGCAGTGACCAATGGCTCAGATATGTCACACGCCCTTGCTGCAATTTTAATTCTAAGATCATTCCCCTTTATTCTTCCTATACTCAAGCTTTATAAATTCTAGGTGCCCACTTACCCCTTGGGGTCCAAGAGGTCCCGAACCTTCTCATTATAAATTTCCATATACGATACTTCGACTTTAAAGGTCTGGGACTCATTCTGCTCCAAAGAGATCCTTTTAAACAGGGCACAGCAGAGCCTGGGGATAAGGCCTAGCTGCTCAGCATGACCCATCATGGAGAAGGACTTTCCGGAGCCTGGAAAACAGCAAGCAGGAGATGGAAGGATGGGAGGCAAAGCAACACGCTCTTGCTTGAAAGCAAAAGCAATACAGAAAAAATTGACCTCAAACCCAGACCCCTGAACAACAGCTGTTCAGTTACTCTTGTCTCCTTCATATTGGAACTTCCAATTTATTTCTGAAAGGTTGGTACATTATGTAGAAATGACTGTCTAGGAATGCAATCACAACAAATGCATCTTTGGAGAGCAAGCCTGCTAAAGTTCCACCTGTCCTCTCAGTAGTATGCAAAGTGTTGTGTGTGTGATGAACTTGTGCACAAGTGCCCATGTGTGTGGAGAGCAGAGGTCAACTTCGGGTGTCATCCCTTCTCTGCCATCCTTGTCATTGGAGGCAAGGTCTCTCTCTGGCCCCAGAGCTTGCCAGTTACACGAGTCAGACTGGCCATCAAACTCCAGGAGCCTGCTTGACTCTGCCTCTGACGCACCAAATTCTAAGTGCATGCAACCATGCCCATGTTTTACTATATGGATTCTGGCGATTAAAGTGAAGTTCACATGCCTACACGGCAAGCCTTTTACAGGATGAGCCGTTTTCTTAATTCTGGATAAAGTTCCACAGGGATACAACATTGCATACACAGTAAAATCCCGCTGTCCACTAAGCAATACAAACAGTGTGTCATGGCTGGGCTTACCACACACTACATCATCTGCACTTTCTTCCTGGATTCTTGAAGCTGTGTGTGACACAGTAGGAGCAAGTGCTTTTATTATTATTCACTTCCACTTTGAAAGAGCAACAGCTCAGAGTGATAATAGCTGGGCCACAGCTATGTTCTGGGTCTGCCCGACTTGACCAATTACTCCACCTGCCTCGGTGTACAATCCGGCATCATTTTTGTGCCCATGTGGAAGGCGTAGTAGTGGGGGATTCTAAAAATTTTTGTATTGATTCACCTAAGACATTTATACTGAGAAACTGGTGATTAGCTTTCCAGTTCAAATCCGGGTTAAGACTATGATTTAGGAAAATGACACTTAATGGTTTGGAACTAGCTACACTCATTAACCCTGAAGTTAGGCAATTACCAGAACTGATGCATTTTCAAAAAGCAGGATACTTTTGATTACATGACTCAGTTCAGTCCAAAACATCAGGAGAATATTTCTGGGTTTCACAAGTTTCTCCTGCCTTTCAAATGTGAGGAAATTCTATTTAAGGTGTGGGTGTAGCTCAGTGGAACACAATTCATGCTTAGCACACAAGAGGTCCTGGGTTCAATCCCTACTACCACAAACAGACAAAAGAAACACTCATTTATTTATCATTTTAATTAAGGGCTGTGGTTAAACCCGGGATTTTGCACATGTTAAGAAAGCACTCGTCCCCGACCTACACCCTTCCAAGCACTTCTCTTTATAAGGTCGGCTGCAATAAAAGCTACATCTTACCTGTCTGGCCATACGCAAAAATACAAGCATTGTATCCCTGAAAGGCTTTCTCTAGAATTCCTTCCCCGAGGCACTTGAAAACGACTTCCTGACCTAGAAAACATGACAAACATGAAAGATTTATCAGCTTCATGTGTGAGTGTCTACACAAGCCAGAAGAGGGGATCCGACGCCCTGAAGCTGGAGTCTCAGGCAGTTGTGAGCCACTTAATGAAGGGCAGCAGCAAGCACTCTTGACTGCTGAGCCATTTACCTAGCCCCCCAAACAGATACTTAAAAGTAAAGTTAAAAGGGTGACTTGTGTTGAGGTGTGTGTGTGTGTGTGTGTGTGTGTGTGTGTTTAAAGAGATTTGTTTTATGTGTGTAAGTATTTAGTTTGGACATATGTACGTATAACACATGTTCAGTACCCTCAGGGCCAGAAGAGGGTGTTGCAGCCTCTGGAACTGAAGTTACAGACAGTGTTGAGCCACCACGTGGGTTCTGGGAACCGAACCCAGATCTTTTGCAAGAAAACCAAGTGGTCTTAACAGTTGAGTCATCTCTCCAGCCCTCTAACCGGTGTATTAACAACCTTCTCTCAGTCCTCCCCTCTCAACATTTAAAGGTATGCTCAATGCTTACTATACAGTTATGTATAAGAGCTTAACAAATGCACTCTCACGCAGATGGGGTGTTGCTATGTTGCCCAGATTAATCGCAAACACACAAATCCCAGTGACCCTCTTACCCCAGCCTGCTCAGGAGCTGAGACTATAGGCATGGATATCCACACCTGGCTCGCAATATCAGTTTTGCTCCAAAACCATAGATGGATATCTGGATAAAGTCATGATTCCATACTGCTTTCTCTTAGACATTTCTCTGGGGATTAAAATCTCCACTCCTTTTTAGCAGGCTGAATAAAAGCACTGTCAAAGTTGGTTTCCTTTTCTCCTTAGAAATCCTATCTAGATGTTACTAAATATGAGCTGTCTTGTCTCCCCATCTGGATCCAGTTTCCAATGAGTGAGAACCATGGCGTACATTTCCTTTATGTCCACAGCTTCGGCGTGCAAGGTGTTTTGCACAGTCAGCTATTGGGAAACTGCTCACCAGTGGAGGAGGGGTGGTGGTTAATACTGACTGTCAGTCAACATGACAGGATCTAGAATCCCCTAGGCAACAAGCCTCTGGGCAAGGCTTTGAGGGATGACCTAGATTGACTGTGGGGAGGACCTTAAATGTGAGCAGCGGCATCCCATGGCATTCATCCTGGACTGAATAAAAAGGAGAAAGCGAGCTAAGCGCAGCCATTCATTACTCCTTCCTGACTGCCAGCACGATGTGGTCTGGGGCCTCATGCTCCCACTGCCATGCTCTCCCTGCCATGATGGAGTTCCTCTGGAACTGCGAGCCCAAACAAACCCTTCCTTCCCCAAACAGCTTTGACCAGGGGACTTAGGAGAGCAATAGGAAAAGTAACTAATACAGTGCCATTAGTAGATTTTGCAGGTCCACTTCATCCGTGTTCCCACATGAGGACAAAGACAAGTTCTCTCTCATTAATCCTTGCCATAGCCCAACTCCTGGGGCTTCTCCCATGGACTACACTAAGGTGGGGTGGGACAGAGCGTACTATGATGTGTTTATTAAACATTCGAGATGGCATGTACCTTCCTCACACTGACTTCCCAACAATTAAGAGAATTACATGACATTACTCCATATTCCTGTGGTTTCTACAACATTTGCTCTATATTATTGCATCTGTAGGCACTACTGGCTTAGATACTGTTTCTAGCCCTGGGATAAGAGCACTCTGATGTCAGAGATGACAACCTTTTTATCTTTGTAATCCTAGTGTCTCATATAAAATGCTTAGTAAATATTTGTTGAAAGAATAAGTAAGTCAGCTTAATAATTTTGTCCATGAGTATATTTGAAGATCTGCTCATATTAAAAAGAACAAATGCAAGCTATTACTGGTTGTGTATTCTCTTTTATGGGAAGTTGGATAGGATTTCAGCACCACCTTGCTGTACATCCAGGATTGCAGGACAAGACTCTTCAGAGACTGTCAACAAGGGACAAAAGCGGACACTTCAACCACTAAGCTGCCAAAAAGTGAAATTCTGGCAACATCAAATATTGCTGAGTCGTAGAGAAAGACATCATTTATAAACAGCTGCTGAGAGAATCATTGCAAGTGGCCACTCTGAAGGAGAATCTGACAGGAGAAGGGACTAAGCTCCGCTCCGCCCCACTGTGTTCACCTATGTGAGTGACACATTCCCCCACATGGCCCTGGATGTCCTGGTAGCTTTGTTTACTATGCTATAAACTGCAGTAAAGTTAAATACATGTTATTGTATGGGAGTGGATGCCTTAAAGGTACACATTGCAGAATGAAAAAGAATACATTTAAAAAATAAAAAATACTAAGCCATGTGTGTCAACAATTGTAATGTTAAGAAGCAATACTAAATAGGGAAGAGCTATGTCATATATATATAATGTAACTATATATAATGTAAGGAGTCATATACTTTATATAAAGTGTGGATAATGTAAAGAGTTATGTACATTATAATGCACGAGACACAGAGAGAAAGAAAGGTGGGATGCTAAAGCTTACAAAATGAACTAGAAAAAGATATTCCACATTTATAATGTCTGTCTTCTCCATCTCTAGCACCTACCACTTAGTATACAGCTTACTCAACACATGTTGGTAGAACACACAGATTTTTTAAGCAAACAGGATTATAACAGTATTTTCTAAGCACACACAGTGTGTTGTGAAGTGTGTGTGCACATACCCTCTAACAGCAAGGTGCTGCTGGTATGATGGTCTATGACACTCATACTGTAAACACTGCTCTTAAGTCCTTGTCTGCTACAAGACTCTTGGGCTCCCTTCATACACAACAGCATCTTCTACTTTTTCAAAGGACTATTACATATGGTGTCCAGCGTGGAGTTTAAATATCCAAACATAGGGCCTGGGAAAGCTAAAAGAGGGTCTGGACAAGGAGCCAGACGTAGCTTCCTAGTTCCACAGTCTCTCAGACAGGCCGATGGTCATGGCATAATAGGCATGGCTCTGAGCGGCTGCTTGCAGGTTTGCATTAGCCGCCAGTGCCATGTGCTAAGCAAAATTGCAGGCAGACAGTTTTAATGTGGTCAGAGAAATTTACAGACACACAGAAAGCCAGGTCCAGACACAGAAAACCTTAAAAAAGGTACAATATGCTTGAAATGGTATTTAGTTGCTGAAGAAAGAAAAGAAAATGGGTATAGACAGTCATAAAAATAGTTTAAAAACAATAAAGTCTTTAAAGAGAGAGTAAAGTAATATGAAAATAATAAGCCACATAGGGTTGGGAACTATTATAACACAGGGAACTTGCACCTTATATTGTGCTTTGTTAATTTTGAAGCTTTGAAATGCTAATGAACAGAAAAAGGCAGCTGCTGCGAGACACTGGATTATGAAAGGGACTTATGATATTAAGCCCAGATATTTTAGGGATATCTTGACTTCAGAATGGAAGTTGGGAAAATATATTACAAAAGGAGAGAGGTTGTGCTTTTATTTCCACAGGTAACAAAAAGCTATCAATTCCTTCAAAGTTAATCAAGATCAGATTTGACTGGGGGGAGACCTCTGAGGATGTTGGCTACAGATGGGAGGAAGAAACCAGGAAACAGGACAGCTGAGATAAATGCTGATCCCTCAACACGGGATGAGACTGGATGAGACATGACAAATCTTGTTGGCTACAGAGTCCTCATGACTTATTACATGTCATCCTTTCATACGGCATGAATAGAGGTTTACATTACAGTTTGGTTATGCATTCCAAATGGACTTACACAGTTGACAGATGCCTTTTACCTGCCCAAACATAGGACAAAAAAATCTTTAGCAGACTTGCTCACACTACACATTCCATACTTGTGTTAATGTAGGTACACATGTTACCTTTAAAAGTTGATGTGTTTTCAAAATGAAGAAAAGGACCAAACACCAATGAAAACAAGTAGCCCAGATAGTCCAGCCTCTCAGAAGGTCTCTGTTGTAGTTTCCTCAAAATTCTGCATTCAGAACTTCAAAGCTGCTGGCTGAGATGGTTCAGCCTCACAGACTACTCCAGCCAAGACTTCATATAAACCTTGCCATTATACCAAGACTAAAGAAAAAATAACACAGCTAGTTCTCCCAGGACTTGACCATTACCCCAATTTTCTCTGGGTCCCCTAAAGATGCCATCACCCTGAGACAACAGTCTAGAGAACACAATGCTCCCATTTCCAAGAGGTGGGATGGGGGGTTTTGGTCATTTGGTGGGTAATGGATGTTCGTCATTGTCTAGGGGGGTTGGTTACAAGATGTTACTGGTTATGGTTAGAGGAAAAAAACTAAACAAAGGAGGTTAGATTCAGGGATCTTTTTCTAAAAAGATTTAAAAATGGGAGAATATAGAAATGCTAGGATAGAAGGGTAGATTGTTGAATCCTTTTTCAAACAATAAAACCAACTATTATCCTCAAATATTTTACATTGGTATGGATTTTTGCATAGTGATACAAATTTAAGGTTATTTTTCTTTTAACACACTGTATATATGTTTCCACTCTTGTTTAAGGTATTGTACCTATGCTGCTCATTTAACAATGTAATGTTAAATTTCTAGTCCTTAAAAGCTATAACTATAAACTATTTAGGATAACTAAGAAATACAGGTAGCTATGTTAAGTATGTTTTCAAGATTAAACAAATCTAATTTAGATATATAGGTGGTCTTCAAATACTCAAACACTTCAGAGACCTGCAGAATATGGCATTTAAGATATTTTAATAACATAAGACTTTTCATGACAGTAAGACATGTCTGCTCCTGCAACACTAAGTTATTTCAAAAAAGGATTGATGGGCATTGAAGAACCTCCATATGGAGTTTGCTTTCTTTGTGACAAAGTTAGCAACTGGGCAAAGAAACTGTCCTTGCCTTGACTGCTGACAGCATGCTGTTCAAATTGGACAAGCAGGACACAAAAGAAGATGACTGCCAAACTTTGTCAAGACAAGGTAGGATGGTCCTTCAAAA